CCACCAATTCGCACTCTCCACCCGTGGGGGGGCTGAGGCCCTCTGGCTGACACCCTCCAAGCCGCGTGTGAGCTCGACCCTGCCCTGACAGTCTTGTCGGTCGATGGCGTTGGTGCGTATGATTCCATCAGTCGGCAAGCGATGTTGTCCTCGCTTGCCCGCGTCCCCGACGCCAACCGCATCCTGCCCCCCTTCCCTCCACATTTGTGTGGACGGATGATACAGGCACGCCCCACCTCATCACCCAAGCCGAGGGGGGCGAACACCCCTTATGCCGGCTCTTTACTCGCTTGGCGTCGCTCCTGCCCTCGCAGCGGCCGCCCGGTGAGCATGTGCGCGCCTTCCTCGACGACACCTATGTCACGGGCCAACCCAACAGAGTCGCGCCCCTGCATGCCCGTCTGGAGCACCGCCTCTTCGCACACGCGCGGATCCGGCTCAATGCCGGCAAAACCCGTGTTTGGAACGCGTGTGGCGCAATGCCCCCTGGATTGCCAGCCGAGCCACACCTCTCCAACGTCTGGGTTGGGGCCGGGCCTCCGCAGCGCACATGAGCATGCGCCGGCTGCATACTTCGGCTCCTGGGCCGACTCACTGCCAGCCATTGTTGCTCGTGAGCCCCCCCTCCGTGCCGGGCCCTGTCCTTGTCCAGCTTACAGGGTGCGGCACAGACCCGCGAGGGTTCCAGCTGCCGCGCTGGGAAGACCTCGCAACAACACCCCCGCCTCCGGCTGCCCCAGCCGCGAGGGTGGCAGCGAGCCGCATCCCGGCTAATTGATGACAACCTTGCCACCCGTCTCAATGCAACGCTTGACCTGGCCTCGCAGGGGTCCCAAGCATCCTGACGGCGGCGCCCGGCGCCCGAGCTCCGTCTGACCTTTGCAGCCTTCCGAATCATTTTGCTTCGGCGCCTGCGTCTCCCCCTCCCCCTCGACTCCGCCACTTGTCGTTGCCGGCGACGGCTCGATGTTTACGGGGACCATCGCGCTGCATGCCCCCGGTCAGGCCATTTGCGTGCACGGGGCGCACCTCTTGAACGGGCTGCCGCTCGAGTCTGTCCGAGGCGGGTGCAACCGTCGCCACCAATGTCCTGCTCCGCGACCTCAGTGTCCAAGTCGCACGCCAGGACGAAAGGCGCATCGAGGTCATTGCCAATGGCCTGCCTGCGTGGGGCGGCGTCCAGCTCGCAGTTGACACTACCCTGGTCTCGCCTCTGGACTCGTCGGGCCAGCCACATCGCCACCAAAGACGCCGGATCTCAGCGAGGTCCTTGCCGACGAGCGCTGGGAGGTCGCCCCTCCCCTCGCCAGCCGCTGCCGCTGACGGCATGATGATGGTCCCCGCTCGCCCGCCGGGCCCACTGGAGACACATGCTGCGTTGAAAAAGGTGCGTTGCCAAAAAAAAAAAAGTCCATCGGGACCTGGGGCAGTCCTTGCAATGATGGTGATCGTAGGCCTGTAAAGGCAATTTGCGACAAACTTAAGGAACGTGCAGCAGATCCGAATCTCTTATTTGGCGTCTGCTGACGAACGAATCCCTTGGCACTGGGCAGCATTAGCTGACCAATGCGCAGCGGATGCAAGCGTGTTGAAGGCATGGGACTCAGCAACAAGGGTTGCAAATAAGGTAGCTTTTCCTGATAGAACCCTTATGCGTCACTTGTAAAGGAACCTGCTCTATTCGTTAGAACACAGTCAAAGCATTACTACTTATAAACTGACGAAGTCCAATGAGCCAATGAACTTCCAAGGAGAGACTCAGAGCAGATCTGCTTTTGTCACCGGACTGTTTGGTGGCACTTCTGAAAGTTTCCTGAGGTCCCAGGCTTTAGGTGTATGTACTTGTACAGGGGTGTTTGCTGCATGCACGCAACGGCATAGCATGTACGCCTGCGAGTCTGCCCGCCCGCAGTCTTGGCTCGCAGGTCGGTAATGCTCTTCGGTGCTGTCCGTTACGTGCAAGCAAAAACTTTAGCTTACTTGGTAGGACTGCACTCTGCATACCGCCCCGCGCCATGGCTTGATCGGCTGTCTTTGGGTCTCCCATTACAGCTTTGCGAGTTCGGGTCCGGTATCGCCGCCCGCTACTCAAGGACTCTCACCGCTGTGCTGAGTTGTTCCTTCTGCCGCTGCAGTTGGAACCGTGCCGCCTGCCGCTGCAGGTGCGAGCACCGCACCTCTGGATCGCTTCCAGTCTGGTGCCGCACTCAGTTTGTACCGCGTACATTCTGCTGTGCTATGGAGCCTGCAATCCGCTGATTCAGGCCTCCCGCTGCTGCTGGGTCCTTACCCTCAGTGGCCTGGCGCTCGGACGTTCAGTTGTTCCGCTGCGCCCAGCTCCTCTGTACCGCCTGCCTGCTGTCCGCTGACTCAGGCCAGGTCCTTCCGAGCACCGCTCGACGTTTGGTACCCTGAGGACGCCGTACATACCACATGCACACACACATATCTGCTTTACGTTTGTTGTCATGTCAGGTTTGGTTGAGCTTTGTTTCTTTCAGTCATGTCTGCTCCGCATACTTTCCGCCGCCCTGCTGCAGCTTTCTTGATGATCACGAGCTTCAGCTTCTTGCTTGACTTGCCAGCCCGAGTTCTAGCCATGTCGCACCGTGTGCAGACTCCGACTCCGGCCCAGGCTGCTGCTGCTGCAGTTGCGGCTGCGTCTGCCACGTCCGACCCCGCTGCAACCGCCTCTGCAACAACCGCGGCCGCCCCGGCAGACGGTGACACTGCCGCCGACATCCGTGCCAGGGACTCCGCCCGTCAGGCCGAGCTGCTTCACTGCTGGCACTCCATCTGCGAACATACCCCTGAGGATGCTGCCCGCGCTCTTGGTTCCCTTCCGCTGCAGAGTGTGCTCTTCGTCGAGGAGGTTGCCCACGATGTTGTCATGGACCGCCTCTACAACCTCCCGCAGAACTTGCTGGACCAGCTCCAAGGCTCCACCCGCCCACCGACCCGCAGTTTCCGTGGTACCCGCTGGGCAGATGAGGTTTCCGAGGAAGGCGCTGCCCCGCACATTCCGCCAATGCCCGCAAGCACTGAGCAGCCTCCACCGACGCCCGCTCCAGCCATCAACCCAGCCGAGCTCATGCGTGAGCGCCAGTGGCACCACTCCACGGCCCAGGGCGCGCACTCTGAGCCGTTGCCGCCTGAGCTGTGGATGGGTCTGCCCGGCCCGCCGAGCCTGCGCACGCTCCTGTCCCGGAGCCCTCCGCCCAGCCAGCCGAGCCCGTCCGTGCCCCAGCAGCCGAGCCGTCTGACACCTTCTCTGCCCGCCCGCAGCGTCATCGGGTCGAGCCCAAGCCAATCCGCCACGAGCACCTGCATTTCGACCCGGCCGCTGGGCACCGTGCCGCCCCCGCCGATACCGCCAGCCAGTCCAGCCGCACCGACCGCTCCCGCCTGCCGGTCGTGTGTCCCACAGCCGCCTCCGACCCCCGCCCGGACGAGTTGCTCAACTTCGAGATGGGCTACTCCGAGTCCCCACAGTCCGGCCCATGGAGCACCGCCGAAGGCTGGGATTTCCAGATAGCTCTGCCCGCAGCCCCCGCCACCGTCGTCCGCCCAGCTTGGTGGCCCTATGCCGACCTCTTCTGCATCCACGCCGATGAGATTCCGCGCTGGCTGCAGTCCCGCTTGCAGCCGCCCGCTGATGCCGTGGCCCACCTGAAGCTCCGCGGGTACTGCACCCACATCTGCCCGATGGTCAATGACCCTGACCGCAGTCCGCTGTGTACAGGCCTCTGCTTCCGCCCGGTTATGTTCGGCGAACGTTCCGGGCACAAGGAGCACCAGTGCTCCGCGTCTCACCGCCTGCTCACAATGTGAGGGCAAGGTCTCCGCCCGAGCTCCGCCATTGCTCTGCGGTCATAGACCTTCCGCTCTCCGCATTTCCGCTGCCTCCGTCCTTTCTTTTTTGAAAAGCCTGGTTCGTGCGGCCAACACTGGGTTCTTAAGAATAGCCCTTAGGTAGCCTTGGTCCGTTGGCCCTCGTTCCGCTGGCTCCGCTCAGTCCCCCGAGTTGCTCCCGCCTTGCAGCAAAAAGATGCCTGCTCGAGACTGCTAGCGTTTTGCCTCTGCGACTGCATGTTGCTTTCTGGGGTTGCATTTTCTGTTCAGGGTTGCTCCGCCAGGACTCCACGACAACGATGCCGCAGTGCCCTCAGGAGGATGCTCCGCTTGGTCCTCCGCCCGCTGCTTCTGCCGAAATCCCAGCTCTGCTGGATGAGCCTGTTGGCGATCCTGCAACTTCCGTGCATACCCCTTCCAGTTCCCTAGCACAGCCGGAGGACACTGGCCTGCCGTCTCTTGCAGCTCCCGTTGGTGCCCCTAACCCAGTGCACCCACCTTCGGGACTTCTGATTCATCCGCCCATTGCCACTGCAGACGTGACTCCCTCGCCTCTTGTGGTGGACTGTGCCTCGCAGCCCCTTACTTCAGATGACGAGGCCTTGCCTCCCAATCCAGTCACTCCCCCCCCTCCTGTTGAAATGCATACTTCTCCTACGTCCGTTGGTGCTCCCCCGCCCCCCGTGCACCCACCTTCGGACACTTCCGCATGCTCTGGGTCTGCTTGCGGTCTCCCTTGTCCCCAGGAGGAGTTGGATGTCGAGGCCACTTTGCCACCCACATTGCCCCCTCCCCAAGTCCTGGACGAGCAGTGTTCGGTGGATTCTCCTTCGTCTCTTTCTGCTCCAGTGACACCTACGCCAGTGCATCATTCAGCTACAATCTTTTCTGGCTCTCCAGGCTCTTTCTCGATGGTCACCCCGCATGCACACAATGGCTCCACGCTGCAGCCGAGACCATCACCTACACCAAGGTGGGTCAATGGCCGTCTCAATCCTGCACGCCGCCTGCCCTCCGCCTCATTGGGGACGGCTCCGCTTAATAACTCCACCCCCTTAATCCCTTGCCCCCCTAAGTCCCATTTTGTGCCCTACAAACCATCCATCATGCCACCTTTGCCTGCTCCCAAACTGCGACCTAAGCATTCCATGCATGCATTCCGTGCCCCTGCCAGCCTGCAAGCTGACGTCTCCGGTCAACCTGTGTCAGCCCCGTCCTACATGCGAGCAATTGCCTTTCAGTCATTCACTTTGCCTTCGGCGGCAAAGCCAGCCGACCGTCTGTCAATGTACGCTGCTATGGAGGCAGCCCGTGATCGCCTGGCTTCACGCTGGGTTCTTGCAATCGTCAGTCTCGGTTCAGCATCCGCCCTCTTTGTGGAGGCCTCTGCATCTTCAGACCGTGACTTCTTTATCGCCCGTGTCGTGCTTGTGAATGCCCCTTCCACTCTGCAGCGCTACCTAGATATGTGGTCTGCTTGGTGTGACTACTGCAATATTCGAGCCTCGCCGTGCTCAGACCCTCTGCCTGGCGTCCTGTCAGACTGGTTCCGTGGCTACCATGCCGTTTAAAAGCCTGTCGTGGTTTTGCAAGAAAGCTGGCCTGCCCTTGCTTAAGATACAGCTTCAGGGTCCGATCCCGCGTGCCTTCCTGGTGCCTTCCGCCCCGCTTGAGCGTCGTGAGAGTTTGCCCTTCTCACTGAGCTTTGTGGTGTGGCTCGAGGAGCGTGTGCTGGATGTCTCAACGCCCTGCTGCGAGATTTTTATGTTGGGCGTCCTTCTTTGCGCAATCTGGGGCTCCTTGCGCTGGGGCGATTTGCTTTGGGTTCCCCCCGCCCGTCTGCATCTCCAGCCAGAGTCCTGCGCGTTGATCGGCATCTGCCTTCGCACTAAAACCACCAAATCCGGCATGCCTTGGGGAATCTATATGCCTGGCTTGCTGGGTTCCGCCGCCGTGACCTGGCCTGCCCGCTGGCTTTCTGTTGTAAAGCAAGTGCTGGCGGACACTCACGCCTTGTGCCCTGATCGATGCATCGATTTTTTGCCTGCCGTGCTTTCTGATGATCGCATCCGTCCGGTCATCGTCAAGCCCTTGTCTCGCGATCAAGCAGTCCCGTGGATCCGAGGCCTACTGTGCCACCAGTGGCGCTTGCATTCCGCTGAACCCGTGCCCACAGCATTCAACTTGGTGGCCGCTCACAGTGCCAAGACCACTGTATTATCTTGGGCACGCCAGTTAGATCTACCTTCGGAACCACGCCGCATTCAGGGCCATCACCGCCTCTCGGGCTCGGACAAATCCGTTGCTCTCTATAGCCGAGATGACATCGGCCCGATGCTGTCCTGCCAGCGCACCATCGTGTCCTGCATCAGATCCGGCTTCCGCCCCTTGCAACCTACGGCCCGTGGGGCTACAACGCCCTTGCCGGGCTTCCCGGTTCAATTGGCGCATACAACCGTCCTCCCGCGTGTCCGCTGGAGAAACGGCCCTACGCCAGATCTACCGGTCTCAGATCCGGATCATCCAGCAGAAAGTGTCGCTCCCACAGCGCCTCCTTCCCACCAAGTTGCCCTGCCCACGCCACAGGATGAACCTCCCTTGGTGTCCGAAGTGGTGCCGCAGTTCGACCGCCTGCCCAGCCCTGCCGTGTCTAGCTGTTCTTCGGAAGACGACCGCGGCTCCGTGTGCTCCGAGCCTGCCTCTGATCCGGAAGCCGTAGAGGTTGAAGAAGCGGCGTTGAACCTTCCGCCCTCTCCTCTTCAAGCACCCCCGCCCCTGCTCTTCAATCACCGCTCCAACGTGGTACATGCAGGCGCCACGTGCGAACCACATGCACCGCGCTCCGTTTTCTTCTCGTACGAGTTGAAATGGTTGCGGCCCGCTTGTGGCGCCAGCACGGACAACATCGGTGCGCGCAGTCTCTGTCGTTCTGCGCCGTCTTGCTCGACCATGTGCCTGCGCGCCGCTTGTGCCGCCGTCTTTGACTCCTGGGATAAGCCGTAGTGACTTCACGTTGCCAAAAAAACGCGTGCCCCGTGTTTGCATTGATGTGTGTCAGCATTGCATGCCCTGTCTCCTTGCGATCGCCCCCCCCCCCCCAAATGTTTCCTGTGCCAGGTCCTGCTCGAGCTCCTTCGACTCGCTCCTCTTCTTGGTCGCAGTTTTGCCTAGCCATGGAGGCGGCCAACTCCGATATGCGTGATGCCAGGGAAGTTTTCTCCGTGCGGACTGCCCGCCAGCGTGTGCTCGTTGCAGAGGACGTCCCCGCTGCTTCTGCTCGCCCTGTTTTGCAACCCACAGCCGCTAACCCTGCTCCGACTGTTGCGCCTGCTGCCTCAGCTAGCCGTCCGCCGGACGCCGCCTTCCTGGAATGTCCCGCCCCGCACTGGTCAGATGAACGCTTGCGTGCCTGGCTTGCACAGATGGACCCGCTTGTGTTGGCGCGTGTTCGTGCCTTGCTCCGCCCGCGCGAACTAGAACGCCAGGAACTCATTTTGGGTTACTGCGAGCAGCTCTGCCCCAATCTTTGTGGCAACGTCTGTGGCCGCCCCATGCTCAATCGTCCGCGCCCACATCAAGACCACTTCTGCCGCGGCTGTCATGCCCAGCGCCGCCTACAACTGCACCCTGTTCAGCTGCCACCTTCCTTCATGCCGCTGCCACGAGATGCCCCTCCGCGTGATCAAGTTCCCGAGCCATCCCCCGAGCCGCAGTCCTGATGTTGTGTTTTTGTCTATCACACCTGTATAGCATTTGTGCTAAGACACACACGTCTCACCGTCCGCTGCCTCGCTGGCTCGGACTGGGGCGTATCCTCTCGCACCCTGATGCACAGAGCAAAAGTCTGTGCCTCACGGTTGCGTTGCAGCTCAGCCGCGCTGTCTGCTTGGATACGCATAACACATGGTCTCGTGCATGTTCACATGGTCCTGTTTGATCCGCAGCCTTTTTCTTGTTGGTGCTTTGTAGCTGCCCCTCCCTACCCACCTTCTGCCCCAACGTGTTCAGGTGCCATGGCTCACCGACCACGGCTTGATGATCCTGCTGTGTTGGAAGCCCTCGTCCAGCAGTATTCAGCACCTGCTACTCTGCTGGGCACTCTCAAGGCGGCTGGTTTTTCCACCCTGAGCTCGCTGGTTTTTGCTGCACCCGAATCCGCTGATGAGCCCCAGCTCCTGCGTTCACTTCTTGCATTGCCTGAGCCGCACGAGCTCACGACACCGTCTTGCTCCGCTGTCCGCCGCCTGCTTATGGAGGCCCGCCTTTTGCTTCCTCCCCAGTCACTTCCTGCGATGCCGCCATCTGGGTCGCAACCCACCTCAGCCACTCCGTTGCCCGCAACTTCAGCAACTAAGCTAACTGCCGCCGAGTTTACACAGCTCCGTGCCGATTTCACCACTGCATACCCAGGGGAGCTCCTGAATCCCTCTAACACCCCTTGCCTGGAGATGTGTGCCGCGATCAAGCAACTTCATGAGTCCGGTGCATCCCCTTGGTTGCCATGGCGTCAGCGTGCTTCCGAAGCTGACCGCGCTGCTTGGTCCGAGGCACGCCGACCTCGCTCCGATGGCCAACTTCTGCGTGCACTTCTAGCGGATGATACGGAGCCAAGCGGCCCTTCCGCCTCTGTGCAACTTAACGGGCCCGTGGAAACCGCCCTTCGCCGCAGTCTGTCCATCTTTGCTACCGCGTTAGCCATGCTGAAGCTTGTGCACTTGCTGCCCGCAAAACGCTTCATGGATAAATTCGTGAACACAGCTCTCTCTGTGCCCCTGGATCCCGGACTCCGCCCGCCTGCAATGAATGAGATCCTGGCTGCAGACCGTTCCGTCTGGTTAGCTGTGCATGAGTTGGTCCGTGACCACGGCTGGAGCCTAGAAGATTCCCTTAATGAAATGGCCACCTGCCGCCAGGACATTGCCTCCTTACTGCAGCCCCGACCCAAACCGGCTAGGGCAGCTCCGGACCCTGCCCGCGCCCCTACCCGCAACCCCCAAAGGCCGACAGACCGACGGTCTCGCTCTGCCCGCACAGATGACCGCCGCAGACCTGCAGCTAAGGGCAAAGCCAAAGGACGTGGTAAATCCCGTCCCGACTCTTCCGCTTCCGTGTCGGGCTTTGACGCGTCCTGGTTTGAAAGGGTTGGTAAGCGCGAGGTGTGCAAGCGGTATGCTGTGGGCAAATGCACGAATCCTGCCTGCCGCTACGCCCACGTCTGCCCTGTCCCGCTTCCATCCGGCAAGCCATGCGGTCAGAAGCACACGGCCTTGGAGCATCAGTCAACAGCGCATTGACTATCGGTCGAGAGTCTGTCATCTGACACAGATCCAGACGACCCCTTGGTTCCGCAGGACCAGCCCCGCCCTGCTGTTGCATCCGCTCCTGCCAAACGCCCTGCCTTCTCCGCTACAACAGCCACGAGTCGAGATGTTTCCTTCCCTCCTTCTCCGCCACTAGCCTGTGCTGGCGCCACACCACGAGCGTTGCCAGTTCAGGTCCAATGCACTAACCATGGCCCTGCTTCTACACCTCCGCCATCTCGGGCCCCGCCCTCAGCCACTCTTGCACCGTCGGAACCCACTGACTTTGCGCCTATCCCTGTTCCGGCTCCTGGCGCCACCAAGGCTCATGGCACTGCCATCCCCGCGTTACGCCTTTTCTTGGACCTTTTCTCTGGTGCTTCTGCACCAGTACACAATGCCGTGTCGGGTTTGCTGTTGTGTCGCTTCGAGCCTGTGGATCTTCTGTGCGGTTCTGCTCTGGACCTGTCTGATGACGAGGTCTACCGGGACCTCTGCCGTCTTTGTGCCTCTGGTTTGGTCGGAGCCTGCTGCGCTGCTCCGCCCTGCTCCTCCTACTCCAGAGCTCGCCTGCGAGCGCCTGGTCCAGCCCCCATTCGAACGGCCGCATTCCCAACCGGTCTGCCTCACCTTGACAGTCGCCAGCTCAATGAGCTGCGGCTGTCCAATTCTCTGCACAAGCGCACCCGCCACCTACTGTCACTGGTGGCCAGCCGCGGCGGGCTCATCCTTCTGGAGAACCCCGTCTCTAGCCTGTTGTGGTTGGATCCCGAAGTTATGGCATGGGTCCGAGCGTTTGCCCCTTTTGGCGCTTCCGTTGCAGCCTGCAATCATGGTATGGATGCCGACAAACACTGGCTCTTCTGGTCAAACAGACCTTGTGTTGCCGCACTTGCATCCTCCTGCCCGCACCTGAAGGGTTTCCACAAGTTGCTCCGCAGCAAGCGTCTGCCAGACGGCTCCTGGTCGACACGCTTGACAGCCACGTACCCGCAATCGCTTGCACAAGCTATTGCCGCTCTCTGCGTGCCCTTTCTGTCTGTTAAGGATGCCGTTTACACTCGCGCCAGCTGGAGTGCGCTGCTCCCACCGCGTCTGCCCTGGCCTGCTCAGCACCTGCCCGTCGAGGATGGGGCCGGGTGCCAGCACGGCCTGTCACGTCACTCCGCAAGGAGACGACATCTTCCGCCCGTTACGCCGTGCCTGGATGGAACGCCTCATCAAGTCCGGTCTTGTTCATACGATTGTCTCCGCGATCTCCTCCGGCGACAAAACATCCCCGCTTTCATGTGAACAGCTGTTGCCTTTCTTTGATGACCTCCGTTCCTTCCTGCACGTTGAATGCGACACCACCTGGTCTAATTTGCTGCACATTACTCCAGGGCAGCCTTTCCGTATCTCTCTCTGGCACACTCTCTCGCTGTTTCTGAAAGACCCAGACGCACTTGCATGAAGGCGTTCCGCTTGGGTTTGCCCAGCCAATACCGCCCTGCCCGGTCCTCACTCCTCTTTCGGAATTAACCGCTCCAGTTCCGGAACTCTGCCACTGTGAGTCCGCCTGGAAATCCGCCTTGGACCATCCCGAGATCGTCGACGATCTTCTCAAAGAGGAGCTAGCGCAGGGTTGGATCTGTGAGGTTCCGGGGGGTGATGCCGAACTCAGGTCCCGTTATAGCCAGTCCGCCGTTGGGAAGCTCGGCCTAGTCCTCTCGGATTCTCGCCCTCCGCGGCTCGTGGTGGACAGTTCCATTTCGGGAGTTACTGCGAGCACCCGTCTGCCCAATAGGTCATCCAATCCCACGCTCATGCACGTGCGACGCTGCCTTCCGCTTTCGGATGCCCGCGAGCAACTATGTGCTCTGGTTCTGGATGTCAGCAAAGCCCACCGCCGGCTCAAGATTCTACCTGCTGACCAAGGGTTGCTCTGCTTCCGCCACCGTGGCCGCTTGTACCAGTGTCTCACGCTCAACTTTGGTGCTCGGGCGTCTGGGTTTTACTGGTCCAGGGTGGCAGGTCTGCTTGTGCGCCTGGTGCACCGCATCTGGTGGGTGAGTCACTCCGCACTGATCTATGTGGACGACCTTCTGTGTCTGCTGGAGAAAAGCTCCGCCCCGTTGCTGGCTTCCGTTCTCGTTGTGCTCCTACAGGTCCTTAACGTGCCCATGAGCTGGCACAAGGCCAAACTCTCCCCTTCCGTTGTGTGGATCGGCTGGCAGTTTGACTTCCGTACCTACACAGTCCGCCTTGAGCCTGAAAAGCTCCAGCGCTTGCTCCGTCTACTTCACGAGTCCCGCCGACATAACAAGCTGCCGACGTCGACCCTAGAAAAGTTGACCGGCAAGCTCCTCTGGCTGTCAAACTTGTTCCGTGCCTTCAGGCCTTCGCTGGCTCCTCTATATCAAGATCAGTACTGCCCCCCCCTGGTGAGCATTCCGCTTTCAACTGCTTCCTGGAAGCGCTTGGTGGACTGTCTTTCCGATGACCTGTTGGTCCGCTCACCTTGTGGTCTTGCTGCTGCTCCGGTCGGCTCTCGCCTCTTTCGTGTCGCGCAGAATGCTGTCACCAAGCGATCCGAGTTGCCTGCCTTTCCCCCATCCAGCCGGCGTTTGTGGGTTCAAATTTCGGATTTGTCGCACACGCATCGTGTCATATCAGATGCCTCCCGGGAGGTTATGGATCTGTGGCTGGACATTTGCAAGTCCGGCACTGACTTCCGCACCCTGCTCCTGGCCCCGCATTTTCAGTGTGAAGCGTTCGCGGACGCCTGCGCATCATCTACATCTGCTGGTCTTGGAGGTTTCGTGAGGTTGCCCGATGGAGCCTGCCTCTTCTTTCAGTATACCTTTACACAGCAGCAGCTGCACGATCTCTTCCCGTGGTTCCCCGCCGACGAGCCGCCGCAGCATTATATAGCAGCCTGGGAGTTGCTGGCCCAGTGCGGGCTCTTGCACTTGCTCTCTTGTCTGCTGCCACCTGGCCACCCCCCTGTCCACGTGACCTTCCGTTGCGACAATTCCGCTACTGACTCAGCCTCATGGAAAGGCCTCTCGCTTGCCCGAGGCCTCAGTTCCTTGCTCCGTTCCTTTTTTCTGCTGCAGGAACGTCAATTCATTTCCGTTCATGTCGATCACGTTCCGGGATTCCGGAACGATCTTGCTGATAGCCTCAGTCGTGGGTATGACCCCTCCCTCCTGGGCTTTTTGCCTGCGCAGCGAGCTGAAGTGCCTTGGACAGCCTTCCCATCCACGTTCTGCACCTGCACATATCCGCTTGAGGAGGACCTGTCAAGTTGCCTGGCTCCTGCTTGAAGAATGCTGGCCTGTTATACCCCTGTCGGGTCAAGCTGAAGCCTGAAACCTTTGGAGAATCCGTCCAGCATTCTGTCCTTGCCCGACTGACCTCCGGTCCCTCCGGATGCTACGGATCTGCATCCGCGTATTCACCACCGTGACAAAAGAAGGGTGCGTCTGGAGAGTTCTTCTTTTGTTTAGTCCCAGTACATTCGTAACGGACTAGTGTCTGCAGTGAACGTGTATGTACTTGTACAGGGGTGTTTGCTGCATGCACGCAACGGCATAGCATGTACGCCTGCGAGTCTGCCCGCCCGCAGTCTTGGCTCGCAGGTCGGTAATGCTCTTCGGTGCTGTCCGTTACGTGCAAGCAAAAACTTTACCGCCACCACCCCTCCTCCTTCCGTCTTCCTTGCCGCACGCCTTACTCGCTGTGGCCTGCGCCCCGTCTGGACAGATGGGTCCAATGTGGCTCATCTGCCCATTCGGGCCGTGATGGCTCCACTTCCATTCACTTCTTGCTAGAGGCATGCCTGACTGTATCCGTGTCTCCTGCTGCTCCGGGATCGTCCTATTTTGATCCCCGACCAGCAGAGACCGATCCGCATCTTTCACCTTGGTTTCCTTTTCACTTGGTTAGATTTCTGTGATCTAAGCTCAGCTGTACGGAGAATCCGTCCAGCATTCTGTCCTTGCCCGACTGACCTCCGGTCCCTCCGGATGCTACGGATCTGCATCCGCGTATTCACCACCGTGACAAAAGAAGGGTGCGTCTGGAGAGTTCTTCTTTTGTTTAGTCCCAGTACATTCGTAACGGACTAGTGTCTGCAGTGAACGGATCTTGTTTATATGTGTTGTAAATGTGTTGTTGGACTTTGGCATTTAAGGTTTTGAGGGTTTAAGGTTTCCAGGTTTTTTTTTTGGGTTTAGGATTAAGGGTGGTTAAGGGTTCAGGCAGTTTAGTCTCCAGGGGTCAGGGACTGAAACAGGGCAGTTTCGCCGAAGTTAGCTGGTCACTATCATCAGCAACATCAACCCGCATCAGTAGGACTCGTGGCCAAAATCAGGTCCCTGAGTACAGGCAATATAAAAGCCCAAACAAGCACAAATACCGCTCCCTTCAAGAGTCCCCACTGCCGGGTGCGTGCCGTCCCAGCCTCCTGCCGGGCTGCAGCCATCTCTGCCTTCACGCTGCGTTGGTCGTCCCTCATGCCTCATCTCCTTCGCAGCTGCGCGGGCTTCCAGTCTCCTGTCGGTGGCACTGCCAACGTTGATGGGGACCCTCCGCTCCTCAGCTTCAGCGAGGTCCTCGTCGACTCCGCCATGCCTCCCCCCATTGCCACAGCCGAACCCCCACTTGCAACAGCACCCTTTCATCACACAACCCAACATGGTGCCAGGAAATGCTACTGATCTCCTTCCTGGTCCCGGATCGCCGGCCATGCAGTTCTGACACCTCCATGGACACATGCAGATACCTTGAAGAAGCTCAGCAAGAAGTTAGACTTGAAGTTCATAACGCACAGTTGAGCTTCATGGCGTTTCTCGTGTTGCTGCCCTAGAGACCACGGATGAAAATCGCTTGTGCTTGCTGAAATACTGCCTCAGAGGAAGTGTAGTCCACCACCAACCACCAAGTCGCCAGCACGGCAGGCTTGTCGGGCGGTTCTATCGGTTCTTCCAAACCAACAATGTCTTGTTGACACGTTCGGGCTGCGTGTTGGACGGGTTGGTGCTGTAAAGGAGTAGATAAAAACATCTTCTGGCCTGTGTCGAGGGTTTCACGAAGCGCACGACCGAAGGTTTTTCCGTTCGCGCAGAGTATCACTCACCGGCCAGATTCACCAGGCCCTGCCAGTCTGGGCCGGCTCCGCCTGCCCTTGGCGTTTGCGACCAGCCAAGCCGCGGCTACGTCTCGACGCGTTGGGCAGCTATACTCTGGCCTGCATCCACTGCAACAGGCGAAGTGAACTTTGCCTTCCCCATAGGTCCGAACTCATAGGGTGGGGACTCAGTCCCTGGGGTTTTTGGGGCTGGAAGTGGAAAAACATGAGATCAGGCCGAACTCCAATTGCGCATGCCCAAGGTTCGAGGTGGACATTGTGGTGTGAGTCAATGCCAAATGGGGACAAAACAAATAACCCGTTGACGTCGCTTCAAAAGCAACATCCAGTCATGGGCGGGGCGTGGCCTTCTGTTGTTCATTAACAGTGTGTGCATTAGAAGTGTGTGCAGGACCAGGGCCCCCCTATTGGCCCTATGTCTGCCGCGTACGATACAACTGTGGCTGCTGGCTCGAGAAGGGCAAAGTTACCAAAGAACCAGTGATCGTCACACTTGATATTGCCTGTTACTGGCGAAGTGCTGGCACAGGCTGCCCTGCGCTCCCCCAAATAAGCATTTTTCTTGCCACGGCAATGCCGTCACCACGACGGGATCCGTGAAGGCTCCTTTTGCCTTCGCTGATCTTGTAAAGATATGCGCGGCTTCAAGGTATGCCAAGCTTTGATATTTGTGACGGCTTCGTACAAGCCGTAGTCTACAGCATCAGGACACGCCAGCAGCCTGCGAGCTGCGCTGTGCCGGTGCTGTGTTGTTGGGTTTGGTGCTCGACGTGTCCGGCAAAGTCACCAACGTGACACCAGGCGGGTGCTTTGACAATCATGACGTTCATATTGGATGAGCTGTTGGTCATGTCGGTGGGCCTGATTGTTTCCAAATCTTCTGCAATAACAGGCCTGAGGCTCATTGACAGTTGCCAGCGAGTTGGAACCAACAAATTTGATGAGGACAAGCCTTACCCCCTTCGTTTCAACCTAATGGTTGTTGTTGCGTTCAGCAGGCACGTGGGCCGCTGAACATGGGCTCGAAGTTGGTGATGAGGACCGACATGTCTTACAAACCTGTCTGAAGTTTTTCTTTTGTTCGAATTGCTCGTCCGGTCTTCTGGGCAAACACCGAAATCCAAAATCGGAAATGTGTTCCGCGATCGTAGCTGTTGTTGCTTTCCTGCATGCAGGTCCTGGCCATCGATGGGCGTTCGTTGGTCGACGTTGTCGCCACGGCTGTGCCAGAGGATTTGGCCAGTCTGCGCGGTCCAAAACGTTTGGTCGTGCTGCTTGGTTCAAAATGCGACGCGGATGGCGTCGCTCAGGAAAGGTTTGCACGAAACCGAAAGATCGCTACTTTTTTCGGCTTGTCATGCATGCAACACGCCGACCCGTTTGACAGGCGAGCATGGGCAGCTGCAGCTGACATTCAGCAGGCAGTGCGCCAGTCGGTGGCACCATCGCTCGCCAAACGCCGGACTGATTTCAGGCATAGCCGCGAAACTTCGTGCAGAAAAATGCTAGGAATCTTGTTGAGCCACTGTTTTGTCGCATCTCATGCCATCCGAAGGGATGCTCTTCGGGATGAGCGTCGCCGCTTCGCTTTCCGCGAAGCTCTCCAGGCCGGGGGCTTTGTCCCCTTTGTAATTTTTAAAGATGTTTTCAGATGGTTGACATGTTTGTAGATTGGGTATGGGATGGCAAGTTTTGAGATGCAAACGTTGCAAGGGACCGTTGCCTTTTGGTTTCTGGGTGTAGGGCGCTTGCGATGATTTCATTTGTTGCGCTTATGTCAGGACTTGGCCGCCTGTTGCAATTTGGACCAATGCATCGGGAACTTGCTTGGAAAGACATGTAGGCTCTTTCTCGTCCGCAAAGGTTTATTTGAATCATGTTGCGGTTCCATCGTCCCGATCCTGCCATGGTTAGCGGGCTCATGGCTCTGGCTTTGGCTGGCAAAGAGCTGTGGGAGCTTGTGTCGGGCTGTGAAGGTGCACTGGATGAAAAGAGCATCTTTTGCATAGGCATCCTCGTCCTTCTCCGTTGGGGCCTGCTGGCCCAAGCAAGACAAATGCAGATGCAGGAAACGCAGAAGGAGGACTAAGGGTGGTGCGACAATCTGGCCCTTAGATGCGCGAGATCCTCTGGAAGATGATCGTGTGACTGTGAAGGCTGAGTGCGAAAGACGCCGCCTGATGGATCTGATGGAAACAGCCAGCAACCTATGACTATGACGTCACGCTGCCTCATGCTCCCGGAGCTTTCGAGGCACACAGGCTTCCTGGTCGCGAAGGAAAATGATCTGCGGTTTGTTCAGGTTGTCGGTTAGGGATGGAAGGCAGGGGCCTGGGGGGCGGGGAAGTATGTTCAAAAACCACTGCATTTAGGGTTCGACAACCCTATAAATGCCCCAGGACTGCAAACCCGGTCTTGGACCGCGTGCTTTTCAGATTCCCTTTCGGTCCTAGTCCAGCAGGCCTCATGCTGGAAACCCGTCCTTTGCAATTGCAACATATTTTGGTTCAAGCACAAAGATGCTGATTCTGCTACAGGCCCAATATGACGTGCTTAAAGAGACCCGAGAACTTCTTATCTGGCGCAAAGTGGGCTGCGGACAAACACCCTCACTACAAAGTCGATGTTTTGCTCAGGTACGACGACGATCTTGCCCTTGCGCAAAGCCCCAAAACCCTGGCCCATAAATCAAACTCCGAAAACCAACGTGCCCAATAACACGCTTGCAACATATGTTGACTAACGTGCAAAACAAACCATGGTTTTCGCATCGGCGTAACAACACAAACAGCACGTCTCACAATGACATAGTTGAGGACAAATGCCGCGAAAACTACAACAATCATCCGTCTACTACTTCGGTATCTAGTCACAGAAGTGCTGTCACGAAAGCTAGCTCTCCTTGGAGCTCGCGAGAGTTGTCGTTTACAAGTCTTCTCTCTAGTGAAAAAGCGACCCCGGCCCCTAAGTGGTATGAAAATCAAGGGGGGGGGGGGCCCTCCCCGCCCCCCCTTTTCGGATTGACAGAATCAATCTTAAGGTATCCCCCCCCTTTTGGGACCCCCCCCCCCCCCCCCGTTTTCAGGCCCCCCCCCCCCCCCCCTGCTTGCTTGTTTTCTAGCTTTCGTAGCCCAGATCTCAAGTCGATTTGGATGAGATGCTGTCTGCCAGGCGCAGTTGGCGCACTGGCGGCCGAGGGAAACCTGGACGCTTTGCCTGTGCTACTCTTGTGAACTGAACTTTGTTGTTGCCTGCGGCAAATTTCGTGGGCCTAAGGCATGAGAGAGGAAAGCTCAGCTGTCAATCGCGAAGCTGAGGCCATTTCCGGCTCTGCCGACGGATGCGGTGGATGCGGCCGCGGAAGTTGGACCCATGGCGGCGTCAGTATGCTACAAAGCTCTTGAAGCATTGTACAACAACTTCTGCCCGACCGAGCGCCCTCAGTTTCAGCCCGAAACCCAAGAAGTCAACCCCAGAGTCCCCCAACAAACCAAACTTTCAAGCATTATCACGAAGTCCAGGTGAGCTTGTGGGCCCTGGGACCTGGACGCTGCCCCGCGTGACCAAGTCGCTGGGATGGTCTTAGAAAGGCTTGTGAGGATAAGCACAATAAGTAAGGGGTATCTGAAAACTGAGATAGAGTTGGGAGAAGGCTTCTGAAAAAAGCGAACGTTCTCTCTGCGCAGAACGCCAAAGGCTGGAGGCCGCTGCGCGCCGGATCCAAGCAAGGCTACCCGGCAAAGATGTGTGGAGCTAAAGGATGCTGCAGGTCTCTCCACGAGGCATCCACCAGAAATTGTGGTCAGCTTCCCCAAGCAGGTCAAACTCAGCACCTGAAGCAGCCCAACGGCCCAACGAACCATACAAACTTCGCTTTCAAGGTACCGCTGGATGAAACTCTGGCGGCAGCTCGACACGACACGCGAGCGTGAGGCCCCATGGCAGTAGCATCCAATGGTATTTAATGCAAGCACCGTAAAGCACCACAAAGTGCTCACCCGAAGTTCGAAAAGAAGCCCCATGAAGCTCCATTCGTTCTGTGCGGGAAACCTTTTGGCCCCGCTTCACTAGGCTGCAGCAACGAAGATCCAGGCCGCCTCCAGGGATCGTCAAGCAGAAGAAAATTTGGCATGGTCAAGCAAAGAGAGGGTTAAGCAGCGGCGATGTAGATGTTGCATGATGGGCCTGCGAGAGAGAGAGAGAGAGAGAGAGAGAGAGAGAGAGAGAGAGCGAGATCTCGACTTTAAAATCTCCAAGTTTTCCCGAAACATCCATCCAGGCTATACAGCGCGGCCGCCAGGCGCGCCGCGGTCTGGCGGCGCAGTTTGCGGCATCAGCAGCCGGCATGGAGGCTGAGCGAGCATCTGCGGGCTTTAGGAAGACGGTGGAAGAGGTATACGTGGAAATGGTCGATGGAGTGTGAGCATTTGATCGTTGACTGCTGGGTGTCAGTCTCGTCAGGTCTGTGGTGAGTTTGGTCATGACTCGGCGAAGGAGACTTCAGAGAGCGACGCAGAAGATGCGGCAAATCCAGCTGCTCTGTCAAGGGTGCAAAGCAAGGAGGCAGAGGACGTGAAAGTCTCGCCACCCGGGTCGCCTGTGGCATCGGTGGTGCAAATTCAGAAGAGCCTTAGCAGCCTTGGCAAAGTGCCTGTGCAGATGCTACTGCGGCGCTATGGAACATGCTTGCAAAGATCGTCGTAGCAATCGGATTCAGAATGCATGGCAATCGTCCTAATTGTCGTCGTAAGAACCTCACCAAATGTTGTTTCTAGTTCCTCACCCTCACTTCTCCTCTCTCTGGAGGTATTAACTCGGTGTACAGACATGTAGTAATGTCGAAACGATTGAAGTGCCAAGCATGATTGGGGTCCAAGATACAAGATCACACAGTGGATGTTTAGCGGCTCGTGTGGACCAAGATTGAAGTTCGATCCGTCCTGGGATCCAAGATCCAGGGCCGCCGGATTGAGATTCAATCTGCTCAATCTGCTCAGTCCTGCGGTTGTGGTCAGTTGTGGTTCCACTCATTTATATTGAAAGCAGATGGTGTCGTGTCCTTGGAAAATAAACATGGTGGGTTGTGATGGCAAGCAGATCATGGGACAGCCTTGACAAATAGAAAAGGTGGGTTGTGAGGGCCTAGGAAGATGGTTTACGGTTTTATTTGGAGGGGGTACTGTTTGTTTCTGGGTTTGGTTTTTACCTCCCTTTCGCCAAGCAGTTTTCCAAACTCCCCACTGAAGCGGCACAAAGCAGTAGAAACAATATAATATAAGTACGGTCACGCGTCATGTGAGTGGTGAGTAATTGCCGTCCAGTAGTCTTGCAAATCGTCGCTCCGATCCCGGGTGGATGTCCCAAAAAATGCCAAGAACGAGTGCCCGTGACTTGGCCTTAGACGGCGGGAGGAGGAACGAGTGGCGACAGTGGGGATAAAGGGGGTTAAAGGGGGTAAAGGCAGGAGAGGTTATGGCGGAAGGACTGCGGAAGGCAGCGTAGCGCAGAGACTCAACCTAAACCGAAAGGGGGGGAGGGGACGTGGAGAAGAAAGATGGCGCACCCAGGGGATGGGAATCACAGTTGACGCTGCGGAACTATGTGAGCCTAGTCCTTGCGAATGTGGTGGGGTTACTTTGTCCACGTCGCACATCGTCTTCGCCGTCTCGGCTGTTTTCGTGTCGCCGTTATGGTCGTTGTCGGCTGCGGGTGCAGCAATATCAATAACCAGCCAAGAACATCGGAGCACATCGCTTCTGGTGCGGACACCGACGCTGGTGACTTCTTTGAGGGCCGCGCCGCGGCTCTGCAGCCGAAGTCAGACAAAGCAAAGCCAGAGAAAGAGCGACCTGCAAGGATCCAAGTTGCCTGGCAAGGTTTGGGATTGCCGGGATTGTGCAAGGCAAGAACGCATGGCTTAAAACAAAGTAGGTCCTAGGTAATTAGGCCACTGCAATGCCTGTCTTGAACACAATCCCAGGTCCAGAAGTACCCGACTTCTGGCAGCTTGTCTCCGTTGACACCTCCGCCGCCTCCGCCCCTGAGCATGGCCATGTCTCAGCATCATGATGGGTCGTGCTTGGGCTCTTCTAAAAGCAGTTTGTGGGGTTTGAGGCTTCTTAGAATAGATGTCGGCTCGTGATTGGACGAGGTCGGCCTCGGGAACGGACCCGGCCCTCGTGGCCGCAGCCATCCGGATCCAAGCCGCGGAGCGCGGGCGGCAAGCCCGCAAGCGTGCAAGGAAGATGGCCGCGGAGTTCTTTGCGGCTGAACCTGCCGTGGCCATCCTTGCCCCCGCGCATTCGGCTTCTGTCGATGCAGCCTCCTCGGCGTTGGTCTTCCAAGCGCCGGAGGGCCCTGAGGAGTCCGAGGCAGGCTTCTTCACCGAGGACGGACCTGTCATGCTGAAGGGTGCTTGAGCGTCTAGCAAAGCTAAGCATGCAAAGTGCTGGCACAACGCCGCAGGCGTGAAATTCGGGTTGTCAAACTACTCCCAAACCCATACCGATCATACCAGGCGACGGCGGAACCCTCCGTGACGGATGATCTGTGACTTGGCCATTGCTTGCTGTTGACATGGCCTCAACTTGTCTAGTCATGTCGGATTTGTGTGGAGCCACACTATTGTTTTGCAGTTAAACAAATTCATGCTCACCTCGAGAAACAAGAGCTGCATCCGGAACCCAAAAAAAGAGCCCAGAAGTCATGGATGCTCCAACAGCAGAGGCCCCCGGCCAAAGAGCTCGGGGACATGGCGAAAGACAGAGACAAGGTCGGCCCGTTGCATGATGCAGTGGTGCTACTTCTTTCCACGGAAAAAAAACGTCCCGTGCTATTTCTTGGCTGCCGCACTTTTCTTAACAGCACCCGCTTAGTACGTGTTGACAATGGTGGTGTTGAGTTTTGGTCTTATGTGTACACTTTTCCGCGTTCCAGTGTTACGTCTGCAGTCAGTCGCATGTACTTCAACGAGTCGGATCAGGTCCTTAATCAGCGGAAAAAAGCAAGCTTGGAGTTCATCACCATTGGGATCCATTGGGTATCTCAAACCCATCCCCCGGGTTGCTGGATCAACTTGACCCCAGGTGGAAATCTTCGCTGCTGAGCCCGAGGCTTCCAAAGATGTTGCCTCCACACCCATGGATGCGCGACCCGACAGGATCGACTGGCAAAGCAAACGGTCATCAGTAAAATCCGGGCAGACCTGCAGCGCGCATGTGCTGTGCTGCCATGGCAGGCTGGTTTTCCCTGAGCGCGTCGACCTCCAGCCGGCGGCGTTTCTGGACAAGTTCACATCCGGAGCAGCAGATGCCGTGGACAAGAAGGCCAGGCAATGCGCACCTTTAGACTGGTCACTCCGTCTTTCCGAGAGGCAGCTGCTGTCACTGTAAGCAACCACATTGGCAGCGCAACAGAGCCCTCAAACGAATTCAATGGCAAGTGATTCTGCCTGTTGCCACATTTCCCATGTATGCCATATCCGTGGGAGGAGCCTGCTCCTGATGCTGCCCAAGCCCTGCCTTCCGTGGCAACGAACCCGCGACTTTGCAGAGGATAAAGGAGCGGCCTCTATGAATCCCGCTCAGGGTCGGCAGGGTTTTGAGAAGGGAGCCTTATGACTAAAACGAGAGTTTGCAGATATCTACTCGGGGTCGTTACTGGCACAGGCTGTGCAAACAGCGTTAGCGCAGGGCATGCCCCGAGCGCAGCCCTGTGCCTTCTCGGCCTCTTTGCGCCTTCTGATCTGCCATCCCAGGCTGGCTTTCTCGGAACGCTTTGACCTGCCGGAAGCATTCCTGGACAAGGTCACGCCCGCAGAAGATGCCGTGGGTCACAAGAAGGCAAGCCCATGCGCACCCTCAAACCGTGTTTGACCAGTCCTATTCAGTCCTCTGATTGCCAAGGTGAAGGAGGAACCCGCAGCTGGCCTGTTCGCTGCCACGCCTGAGGCTGCCAAAGCTGTGACCTCCGTGGCAGCGGACCCGCGGCTTGGCCAGAGCTCCCTGAGCGCTTGAGAGGTACGACTGCCTTAGCCGTACATTGCCGTGCCCTACATGAAGCGCCGCTGTTTTTTTTTCTCTACCGGAAGCCCCGAAAACCCGAATCCAAGGCTGGGGTTCGAGCACTTGGAGCTCCGGGAGCCCAAGGACAAGGCATGGGTTCAGTGGTTCTGCGTTCAGAGATGTTCTCAGAGATGTGTAGAGTTCAGAGTTCAGAGTTCAGGGTTCGGGCCTTTGTGTGCTTCTTCATGCATGGGAGCAAAAACACCAGAGCCGGGTAGCAGGTCTGTAGATTTGGTTCGTTATCGCGGTGCGGATGTTCATGGCAGGCAAAGCCGGTGCCTTCCAACGGTTATTTCGATGCTGCGACACCAGAGCCAACGAAGGGTATGCCTTCGACATCCTCGGATCCGCGGCTTGGCTACAGGGATGCGAGAGTTGGCTAAAGTTGCTACGGTTGATGAAGGATTCCTGTTGCTGGGCTCTGTGAAAGCCAGCAGAGTCCTCATGCTCGTGACCATGCACCCAAAGTCAGGGTGTCTAGCGGCAATGAGCCGAAGCCAGACTGCTGTTCAGAGTTTCAGTCCGACCTGGTTTTTGTTGATCCTTTCCTATTAGTGCCATAGCGTGTAAGGCTGGGATTCTCGGAGCGTCTGGAGCTCCAGCCACAGCGGGGCTTCCGGCTCCCTGCCAGAGAAAGAAAGCCCAAGGCAAAGGAGGAGAAAAGCAAAGACAAGGATGGAGCTGGTGTGATTTTCTGTTGCGGGGCGGCGTGGTCTTCAAAAAGCATGTTGCGGTGAATTTTGACGCAGTGCCAGGTGAAGGCAGAGCCCGCTGTGGGTTTCCTTGGTGGGCCAGAGGCGACCAAAGCTGTTGCGTCGTCGTCGGATCCGTGGCCTGGCCAAAAGCACCAAATAAGATAAGCAGGAAGGTAAGATAGTAAGGCGTGCAGTGCTCTGTGGGGCATATAGGCCCCACATAGGCCCTAGGCTCTTGCACGAGGCTTGGACTTTCGGAGCGTTTGGAGCTGCAGCCGCAGCGCGGCTTCCGGCTCCCGAAGTCTGAGTCCCGAGAAAAGGAGGAGAAGGACAAAGACAAGGACAAGGAGAGGGTTCGTTTTGACATGCTTTCCCACACTTGTGCAGGCGACGGTGGCACACACGACAGCAACACTCTTGTCCGCAAAGGTCGATTGACCTACCTTCAATGGAGGACAAGAAGAAGAAAAAGAAGAAGAAGAAAGAGGAGTCTGAGCTGGACATTCTGGGCTTTTCGATTTACTGAGCCAGGCCTGAGGTGTTTACAAAAAACGCATGACAGGTTAGGACGAAGGAATTGCTCGTCTAGTTCAGTTCTTTCCGACAGGCTGTCATGGCTGCGACTTTGTGCTCCCGTGGCTGAAAGTTAATGGACTACTGCTGGCGTGCGCTCGCGAGCCAGTGTGCGGAGCTGCCAAAGAGGTGGCTTCACAAAGGGGGAAGCTTGCTCGGAAGGGAATCAGGTCAGACCGAGTTGAATGGGCGGCAAACTGGACTGAGCCTTTGCAGGACTTAGGACTTCAGCAATCCTCACCAGAACATCTTGGAAACAAGCAAAAACAGTATGACGAGCATCGGAATGAAGAACATACTCCATTGGAAGATGACAGCCTTTTCGAAGCTTTTCTTGTTCTCTCACAGCATACCATTTCCGAGCTTGTGTTTTGTAAGCATAAGATACAAAAGGCTAGGGGCGTGCGAAAGGTCAATGGGTTTGTAGCCGGGCTTCCTCTCCTTAGCATACCCATGCTCCAACCAAGCAGGGCGGAAGCCGATGGGAACTGCAGCAACCATTGGGCCAGTATCTAAGACTCTAAGGCTCTAAGAGCTTCTGAGAGCTTCCAACCTTTTAGTAATGTTTTTTCTTCGTGCTGCGGCTCAAGCGCCTGATAGGCGCAGCACCTTACCAACCTTACAGTTGACCATTCTTGAACCGTCAGTCAACGACCATGAGCTCCAAAACAGAGCGCTTTCCAGATTGAGCTCATCCACAACAGGGAAGGACTAACTCGAGACCCCACAGACCTCGGACCACAGCTGCTCACAGCTCTCTCTTCGAACTCGAAGCCCTGACGTGATGAAGTTGCATGGGACCGCATCGCTGGCTCTGCTCCTTCTGTCTGCTGCCCGGGAGGCCACATGTGTGTGTGTGTGTGTGATTCTTTTGTGAGTGTACCTAAGTCAAAATGGTAGCCAGGTAGCTCAGCTATCCCTGAAGTCTGAGCTTTGAACTGGACAGAAGCAGCTGCATCCCACACGTAGCCATAAGTTGGGCGCCGAGGAGCCTCTCTGCAAGTCTGAACTGGTCTCAGCGGGACAGCTGCTGCAAACCGCCAAGCACTTCGAAAGTGCATCCAGGCCAGGCTTGGTGAAGATGGTGTTCGTTCAATGTTCATAATGAGAAAAACATAAATGAAGGTACTCGCACTCGCAAGCCTTAGAACGGCCCAGCTGCTCATCCTGAGCGTCATAGAGCAAGGCTGGACTTCATGCTAACTTCAGCTCAGAATCGATCTCAAGCTAGCGGCATTTGGCTAGGGATGTTGAAGCCCGCACGGCGTGCCAACAAAGAGCTTCGGCCCACCTGTGACCAGTGTGAACACAGACTGGAGCAGCAATTTGAAGACCGCGACCCAGTCTCGTTGACTGCACGTCAAATCAGTGCAACAATCGCTGTCCGCGGCTTTTCATGGCGGATGCACATCAGGCGGTGCAAGACATCACGCGCATGTCTCAAGATCCGCAAGTCATCACGAGGTTCCATCCGACGCGCCCTTTGTCACCCGAACTGAAAGGACCGACGATCACGTCCTGATGTCAATTGCACTCAGGTCGGAACAGGCCAACGAGCTCCACTCGGCCCTGCTCAAATTGTCGGGGAACGCTTGCACTCAGGTTGTGGGGATGTCACATCGCCAGGAACGGCTCAGTCGCTCCAAAGCTTGCCAAGTACCTTTAGACGGGAGCACTGCCGAGCTCCACGATGGATGGACCAGAGACCACGTCCATGCAGGTGGGTCTCTCACTGCCACTCCTCCCAGCATCCAAGCTGACGGCTGCCATGCCGCTGTGCCACCACTGCAATCCTTGCATGCCTTGGACCAGCAACACATCCTTAGAGCCAAGCTTGTAAACAGTGGCAACACATGCTACACCAATGCTCTCATACTTGCCTTTTTGTGGCTTGCACATCGCACCTCGCAACCTTCGATGCCCTTCAGGATTGACGAAGACCTTGTACTCGGCCTTAAGGAAAGCCACTGAATATCTGGCAGCTCATGGTGTGGCGGCAGCTCATGGCCCGGTTGGCAGCGACCAAACAGGCAACACGACGTGGCGGAGCTCATCACGTTCCTTCAGGACAAGGCATTTGCAGATTTGCACGAGGGTCACTGGCAGCGTCGCCTCATTGTCCATGGGCAAACCCGCGTCGAGGATGCTGGCAGCTCGATGCCGCTTCTTTTGCCAGTGCCCCTTACTACTGCTCACTGCACACCGCAGACACTTCTTGACATAATTAGGGTCTTGAGTCTTGGAGAGAAGTGTCCATCTGTCAGTGTGCTGGCACCGACCTCAGTCCATGCTTCAAAAAGGAGACCTCCGGGCGCATCTGGGCGGACTTCTCTTGTGGAGTTGTTCTCAATGAGCTCGTGTCTTCAACCATAGTCTAGAACCCGGACGCAAGAAATCACAGCTAGGTGTAGACAATCCAGTGACAGCATGCGTAATGCCGCCCTAGCAGAAAGTGAGGTCCCAACCTTCTTGGCCACGACGATGCAGCTAGAGTTATGCGGGGTGTAGGAGAGCAAACGCACCCTTAGTGAAACAACAACTCTTGTGTTTCCTCCGTGTCCTGAAACAGAGTACAGACCCCAAACGAGACACAACAAGAAACACAGCTAGGCGCCTAGAATACGGGCAGGATGCCAAGATCACATGGGGCTCTGATAGAAAAAGTGTATACCAAGCTGTTACTGTGTACCGCTATAGCACGGAAGGGCAGGATTCAACTAGCCCAAGACATGTTGATTCTTCTTTAGTACCATCTCTAAGAGGCCAAGGGGATTTGCACTCACATATGTGTGTATATAGCACATATCGAAAATAGAAGTTGTCGAATCAACATATAGAGGAACTAATGAACGTACAGAGGCAAGCGTCGTTTCTATTGAGAACAAAGGGTGTTCCCATTGCAATCAAGGATGAAAAGAGGTTTCCCTGTCGAAATACAAGGGGCAACTCGAGGATTTTCTACTAGCAAAGACAAAGGGAACCGAAGCGAAACACACATGGGCAACAAAACGACCCAATTAAGAAGAAGGACCGCCAATAACATCCCAAGCTTTGCACGGCTGCAGTGTGGCGCGACATGTCTAGCAAAACTGCCTGAAGAAATAGGCTGCGCAAACAGGGCGGGTGGCGGCAGATGGTATCCCTATCGTGTCCCTGCTCGTAAATTCTGGCAAAACAGTCAGGGAGCACACTTTGAAGGCTCCGAAAGATAGACCTCAGTGGAAAGAAAGCCTTCGAATGGTTCAGCTTCCTCTGCGAGGTCATGGCGGGAAGCTTCACCAATCTTTGAGTATGATGCGGCAGCCATGTGCCTGGGCAAGCTTCAAGAAGTAGGCTACCCGCTGGTGGCATCCGAACTTCTGATTGTACAATGGCCACACGACTTCGTCTACGCAAGTCGGCACCCCTACTGCCTTATCTGGCCCTTTGTCATGAAGCGAAAGCTTGGATCGAAAGCTCGTGGCTCTGAGCTATGGCACTAGGTATACTTGAATGTAACATATATGCATGTATGTATGTATGATATACATGTTGTTCTGTAGGTCGCATTCCGACGGTTATGGGGTCTAGTGCTGTGATATGACGGAGCGATCCCGGAATAGGTCCAAGTTGTGAGAGAGAGGGCGAGAGAGAGAGAGAGAGAGAGAGAGAGAGAGAGAGAGAGAGAGAAAAGAAAAAACAAGCTTAAAGTTTAGGGATCTTGTAAAGGCCTTAGGCGTGCCTTTTCAAACCTTCTCGAAGGGGCTAGCTTGGCCAGAGAAGCAGCGCTTGCCAGGGCTAAAGAGAAAGCTTAGGAAACCAACGCCGACCCCACGGAGCGCTCGCATCGCTTGCGTCCTTAAGAGCCTACAAGTCATTCGGGCGTTCCAGGCTCTCCCTATGGTGCTCAAGCCTCGAAGCAAAGCCGGGTCGTGTTGCGATTGCTGGAGCAAAGGTGGGGCTTCGACAACTCGACGGGGCAATGGCGCCTGATGAAGCACGGCTTGGAATGCATCCTCTGCCCTGCGGCTGCAAGCCCGATTCCGATGGGAAGTTCACAGTGCACAGAGTTCGGGCAGCTTCCCTCTTGTCTGGCTTCTTGGCCCCTTTGTGGTCGACTCAGCCACTCAGCCGATTGCCTTTTGCTTTAACCTTTAGCCGCTGGCACTTGAGGGTTCCCGGCGAGCTCCCATGCCAACGCCTCGACGCCGCCACCAAGCAAGGCTAGCACACGGCATGGCATGGGCGCATGGGCCTCCCCCCGTAGGTTGGATCTTGGATGCGGAGTCGAGTTTTTTGGTGCGACGATGTGGCTGTCATGCGTTGGAGCTTTTGCTTCCTGTTGCACTCTCGGATCTGTGCTTCGGAATATCTAAATGCAGTCCGGCAGTGAACAGTCAGTGGATCAGTGATCCGTGTTGCCCAATAAAGCCCAGGCCTAAATTGTGTTAACTTCTAGTGTAGGCCTTGGGCTACCGAAGCAGACAGGAGTCGGGCTTTTCCTTGAACCGCTGCCCTGGTGTGTGGGCGCCCCGCCTCCTGGTCTAAACTGGTTACTCGGGTTGTCTTTTGGGGCTTGCCGCAGCAGCTTGCAGCGTCTCGTGGGGATTGTGTTGAATTGAAATGTGGCATCCGATGAGACACATGTTCCGGAATCGTGCGAAATGTCGCCTGCACAGAGTTTCTGGAATGCCAAAAGGGTCCTGGGTCGAGGGTTTGCAGCTTGCATTGCTTTTGGGTCTTTGAGAGAGGCCTCAAGACCCTGAGTCCGAGAGCCTGAGCCGCGAAGCCTTTACCCGTCCTCAGTTTCAAGGCCTCCGACCACAAGCCAAAGTTGCAAGTACCCTAGGTCAAAACCCTCTCAAGAAAAAGCAACCTCCCGAAACCCGAAGCTTTAGGCGAAAACCCGAAGGCCATGGTGCACAAAGGTTTCACAGCTGAGAACTCGCGGAAGTCCCTTTCCTCCCCTTCACTCAGCCGCTTCCTTCCCCCCTTCATCCTAGCCCTCCCTTCCCCCCTTCCCTCCCATCCTTTCTCGGAGCTTCGTGCAGTAAATATGCTTTGGACTTCTGAGCGCCCTCCTGGGATCAGCGAGGGCGCCGGTGGCGAGTTGACCTGGCGATTCCAGCAACGCCGCTGACCGCGGATGAGCAGCTGGGCACAACTTACAAGCACACCCGAGAGAGGCTTGTGGTGTGTCTAGTTTGAGCAGGACGGAGCTCCACACTTGGCAAGGGATTTCAAGCATGTTCGCATCATGCTGCGCTCTTGAGGAAACTTCCTTTCCACGGCAAACAGCCGCTAGTGTCAGCCCCTGCACATCACTGCTTTTCGCATCAGACACAGGGATAGGTTCCGACATGGGCTTGGTACAAGATAAGTCATGGGCCTGACAAGGCACCGCAGTTCTGTGCTGTTGGTGGAGGAGGTAATGCAAGAGGCAGCTTTGGGAGACTGCTTCCACTTTCAAACCGCCGCTCTCGCCCAGGAAGCGACTCCATCCAGGTGCTGCGTTTTGCTTCCTCCTTTTTTTCTCGCAATGTTTTCTCGGGTTTTATTGTTATCAGGGTGCAGGGACGGTGGGGAAGGCCATGTTGTTGTGGGTGCAAAGCAGGATTTCTCGCTTTTGTGGTTGGGGGTCGCGCGTTTTGTTCGCCCCTGTTTTGTTTGCGGAGTGAGGAGTGAGTCTTTGCACGTGTCCGCAACATCTTGCAAGTGTCATGTCCCATGGTGGTTAGTTGAATGTCGCATGTTGGTGTCCCCGCTGCCGAAAGGGGACACAATTGTCAGAGATCGGGCATGTCGCAGGCGAAATCCTCCTTACCGTCCTTTGCTCCTTTTGCAACCTTGCTTTGGGGCTGTTTTGTGATTGTTGTGGCTGCCTTTGGACTGGGAACCCGTGCTCTTTTTGCTGTGGATGCTTTTTCTCCGGTAAAAGGGTGGGGGCCCGGTGAGAGCGAGCTGGCCTGCGCCTGAGCAGAACAAAAGGCGCACACCCGCAGCAAGAAGTTCAAACTTCCGAAGTCTACTCCCCAGGAATCTCTGAGGGCCTTTTGAGGGATACAGTGCTCGGCCGGATCTCTTCAGAAGGGCGCTCTGCGGATTCTCTGGTGGGCACCCCAAAAAAATATTCGGCGGGACTTTCTGCAGGATTCTGTATGAGCAGGGTTCTTTCTAGGGTTGGGTGCTCAGGGATGTTTGACTACAAAATATCTAACGACCTCACGCGGAGGGCGGAGAGAAAGCAAACATTGACGATCATCCCCATCGTGCAGTTGCCCGACGTGTGAGCCATCCTGTTTCGGACGGTACGTATGGATACTATTCTTTAGGTTGCGGGATTCTTTGGGGGTGGTGGGTACACCGGGGATGCTCCGCAGGTTTTCTGGGGGTGGATGGGTGCGGTGGGAGTGGGCACGCCAAGGAAAATCGGTGCGGCTTTGTGTGAGCTTGTGAAAAGAGGGAAGAAGAAGAGGCAAGAGGGGCATCGAATGTTCACGGTTTAGTTCGAAGTGTAGCGACTCGACCCAGTCTTAATTCTGCAAGTGCCAATTCGCGAAGCTGGGAAGTCAAAGAGCTGAGAAGCAGAGAAGCCAAGCCGAGAAAACAAGAAGCCAGCAACATCCAGCAACCTTCAGCAACCTTCGCACAAGCCTGAAAGCAAGCCAAAAGTCGAGAAGCCACCACAGCCAAGAGGTTACAGAGCCAAAACCGAGAAACCACGAGCCAATTGTAAGGCCTTTTCTGAAGGTGCTGTCTGAGCTTCTGGTAGGTGGTATTTCATACTTCCCGCTTCCTTACACTTACTTAGGTTGCGAGTGCAACTCAGGAAGGGGAGCTGCGGGGCGCATGTGCGTGTGCGAGATGAATGAACGCGTGTCTGAATGGGGCGACTGTCTGTCCGAAGGCACCAACCCGGCCATCATTGAGCTGCCTTCAACACTGCAGCACCGTTTTCCACGTGGGCAGTGGCTGGTGCCTTGCCGGAGATTCCAGGCTCATGTGGCTCTTGCGTGATACTTCCGAGCAGTTTGCCTTCCGACATTGACTCGTGAGCACGCCAATGTGCCCAAGCAGACCTTGAAAAGTAGAATGCTCAAACCATGAAGAAGTTGTTGTCCTCTAGAGTATCCCAAGTCGCAAAACCCATAGACTGTTTTGGCTCCAGTGTTTTGAGAGAGCGGCACGACTTCAAAGGTTTGCAGCGGTGCCCGGGGTGCAGGATGTCACTTGTCCAGTTGCCCTTCTTTGATGGGTCGGCGTTCCTGGTAAATCGGAGAACCTTTTTGGACGTCGACGTAGATGTCCAAAGCAGTGATGTGCAGGCAAGTGGCCGTGCATGCAGCACACCTCCTTGGACGAGGTACGTCGACAGTTGTGACGTTGAAGAGGATGCCAAGCCAGTCAGTCGTATTCTTACCGGCAGTACCACCGTGAGCACGGAGGATTGCAACCTCGAATGCGGTTTTGGTCGCCTAACGACCCAGACTTCGCTCAGCGCATCGGATAGATTGCAGATGGAGGTGCGAGACCCGCCAGCCTCGGCATCTGACAACATTGAGGAGTCAGACTTGGAAGACCTCCAGACCGTCATGATCAAGAACATCCCGTGTCGGTGCAGCACAGGTGAAGTGCTTCGTGCTGTTGACTCCTTGGGTTTTGCTGGGAGCTATGACTTCTTTTACCTGCCTATGAATCGGCGACACAAGCAAGGCAAAGGCTACGCTTTCATCAATTTTATTGAAACCGGCACGGCCGCCTGTTTCAAAGATGCCATCCGGGGCTACCGCTTCCCAGGTCGCGAGAGCACCAAGCAAGTCGAGATTGCTGCTGCGCAGTTGCAGGGCCGAGCAGAAATGGAAGCCTACTTCAGCCGCACGCAAATTGTTCACAGGAGCTTTCGGCCACTGATGTGATTGCACCGGACCTTGACATTCATTTCCATGCACGCAGTATGGCGTGTTTCATGGTGTCGTCAAACTCAGTTCTCGGAACTGCAGTTGTCAATCTTTTAGGTTTTGTCGTGCGCTGCGCAGGACTCTCCAGTTGGTGTTGTGTGGGAAGGTGTTGCCAGTTTCGCAGCCCAGAACTGTTGGGATTCATGCCGCGAGAGGGTTGCACAGCGCGATCTGGCGCTGTTGCCTCACATCAGGAGTGGGGACCGAGTCATCTTTTCTCCATCGGTTTCCTGACTGTGAGATGAGTGCTGGATGGCAGTCTGCTGGACAGAAAGATGTTTTACAAGCCTTCAGCCTTAAACCTTTACTCAGTTCGGAGACGCCAAGAGACAGGATTTCTCCCGGTAGCGTCCAGCAGCATAATTATCCTACTGGATCATGAAGCACGTGAATTTTAAAAAAGTAATTTCAAGTTAGGGCGTCTTGCTGACAGTGCGCATGCCACAACCGTACAGCTGGTAGATGATGGACAGGTTGCCACACTTACCTTATGATTTCCGTGACTTGCAGCGGCCTCCATCGTCGTTTAAGGTGACGCGGTCTCTCTGCCCTCTCCCGCCTTTTGCAACAAGGGTTGCTAGTGGAATGATGTGCGGTGGCTACTTAAAAGTTACTTGTCAATGCGCAGGAGCAGGTCGGATTTGTACGTTGTGCTGGAACCTGGAAAGCTATGTCTACCAGAACGGTCTGCGCTTTCAAAGCAGAGGCTTTTGAGCACAGTCGCTGTTGGGAAAAGCAGCTCGTGACGTGAGAGCATTCAAGACGACAGATGCTGGTAGTTTTCTGGTCCTGGAGATGCTGTAAATCAGGTTGTCTACAGGTGTGAAATGCTCCAACACGTAGAATTTCTGATTGGTCAAAGGCTCCCTTTCCGATCTTGTGCGGGCTGCAAATGCCGCAAAACCCCAGACAGATGCTGCAACTTGTCACATTCCGGGCTTATCAAATGCTGCACATGCCGTAGATTATAGAATTCCCATCTTGTGCAGCTAAAAATTGTCAAATTGTGTGCCTTGTACAGGCAAGCTCATATAGCTGTAAGGTACAGCGTTACTGGCCCCGATATTTCACCATGTCCAAGTCTTGGACAGTCTTGGACATCTTCAAAATACAGTAGTTCTGGTAGTTCACAGGCAGCAGATGGTGTAAAATGACAAATAATTTGGTTGAGTACTCCCAGGATACACTGCGGGACTCTCTGTGAGGTTCTCTGGGGGTGGGCACTCGGGTGCCAGGGATGCTCCATGCTTCTCTGCGGGTCGGCGCTCCAGGGATGCTCGCGGGACTCTTTCCAGGATTTTCTGAAAAAGGGCATTCCAAACCGGACGGACACCGAGGAGGCGAGAAGAATGGTTGATGTCAAAATCTAACCGCCCCACAGCGAAGGGAAGAACACCGTAGTTCTGACCAAGCAGACATGCCACCCAAGTCCGAGTTGCGACTTGATAGTCGTCAGCTCAAGTCCGACTTGTGATAGCAAAGGTAGTCAGCCGCCTCGGCTGGGCGCGGTGCCCTGGGATGCACGACTTCGAGGCTTTTTTGGTTATTTGTGGCTGTCATGTTTGGCAGCTTTTCATGTAGTTTAGAAAGCCCCTGAGCCTAAACACCTGCAAGCGCCACCTTGAGCTCCACATGAACCCCTTAGACTGTGCAGGAGGGAACTACGGCCTTTCTGGGGAACTTGTGGGGATTGGGTTCTCATGCCGCCGTGGTCGACGAGGCAGGGCATGTTTCGTACGTGGGAGGGTGTCCGTGTCCCAGTTGGCGAGTACAAACCCTCCTTCATCAGGACTTCGAGGTTCTGGCCCAGGCAGAAATCAAGATGAAGAGCTCGAAAGTGTCACTTCGGCCTGCACGTCTTGCGATTTTTTCTTTGAGACGTCTGGCAAGAGCACGTCTGAAACGCAGCAAGGCTTCTTTCCATTGAGGACGTTCGCCTGTTTCCTACCAGCCGCCGGCCTGTGAAACACGCGGCAGCACAACCTCACATTCTGGCGACTTCAAGAGTCAGCTGAGTCAGCTGTGCCAGAGTCCTGCTTTTTTGACATGTGTCCCAAGTCCGTTGAACCACTGCGAAGGGCTTATGGTGAGCCGAGGCAATGGTGATGTGATCATCAGCTTCATGGCGTACTCAGAGGCCGCATTGCAGGACCTCAACTTGATTCCACAAATTCCACACCTCCCGATTCATCCCCAGGTAGATCGCTTGAACACTATTGTGGCCAAGCTTCACCTGGCCGCCAATGCCTCGGGTCTGCACGCTTGGGTGGATCGCCACGAGGCCCTAGGCTTCACTCCGGGGTGGGGGCCTCTCAAGTTGTCAGAGGAGTGTGTCAGACTGTTGACCAGATCTGCCAGATTCGGTGTGGTCAGGTGCGACGCGCACAAAACTGCAATGGAAACGTCTCCGCGGCCAAGAAGAACTTGGGCTTCTTTGGCGTGCCGGTGTTGAAGCAACGTAGCGAAACCGTACTGTGGTTGTTCTGTTGCTGACAACCCCGAGCTGTTGCCCATGACCGCCCAAGGTGCAGGGTGTCACTTACGTACTGGATCGGATCTACCCCATGCGAGTCGATCAGACAGACTTGACCTCCCTCGAGGCTCCTTCTTTTTTCTCGGATGCAAGGCCAAGGCCCTTGTGGCCCCTAAGGCCCCTGAAGCATCGCACGCCTTGAAATGCCCTTTCCCTGCGTGTTTTTTTTGCGCAGGCGGCCCGTGAACAGGACATCGCCAAGGAAACGGGCCCCAAGTTTCTTGAAGTTGAGGCATGCGGCCGCAGAGTGAGACTTTTCAGCCTTTGTGAGGAGCACAACCACACGTACTTGGACCACCTCTCCCTGGCGGCACTCTGTATGGATGCTCATGCGCCTCGCCCCTGTTGATCTTTTGGATTTCTTTCAGCACGCACTCATTTCCATCGTTTTCATCGCCTTGTGGAGATGTTTGAATGGGTGGTCGAGGGCTACTTTGTGCTCTGGCCGTGGACACTCCGGAAGCCTTTACTGCGAAATTCTGAACCTTGATACCCAGCAAGCTTTGACATAAAGTGTATATTCAGCAGCCTGACCTGGACACCCTGAGTGTGAGACCGGAAATTACGATCCCTACGACGCCCCCGGCCGAAACCCTCCACTTAACAAAAGCCCCACCTTAAAGCCGGCAGCCCCTGCCCCCAGGCACAGAGCCAACCTCTGCACGCTCACGGGCCATGGCATCGATGTGAAGGCCAGGCTTTAAGTGAAGCCTTCCCGAAGGTGTGTATGGGGACAAGCCTGCGGGTCGAGATTGAGAGCGGCTGTCGAATCTCTGTAAGAGCTTGCTGTTGTTACGGGATCTGCTGCTTTGCTAAGCCAGTCACGACGTGTAGCCCACAGAGCGGATGCAACGTTAGGACAGCTCGAAGACCTCTTCCTGCACAACGGCCCACATCCTGTTTTCATCGAGGAGCAGGGCGTGGCCTGGACGCGATATTGGACACGATATCGGACACGATATTGCTGTCATCCCATCAGCCTCAAGCCGACTGACTGACATTGATAGAGCTGAGAGTTGTTGGCTAGTTGCTCCGCTGTGTCGCCTTTTGGCTTTGCTTCAAAGAAGACATCCAAGATCTTCCTCGGCTTGGGCCATTTGGTTCGCGGCGAGACCACTTTTCGCAGCGGGTCGTCCCGGCTCTGTTTTGTCTGTTCCTGGCGGTCTGTGCTCCGATCCTTCTACTTGTGGACTGCTTGTGAGGGAAGCACGTGTGCAGGTACAAGCTGCCTGACCACTACACGCATCAGTACTTTGCCTTCTCCGCAGAACCTCCGTTCGAGCTGAAGCTGGGCTTCAAAGAAACAACTGCTGGCCCCTGTTCAGATTGGAACCTGCAAGAAGCCCAAAGCAAGTTGTAGCCAAGCACTGAAGGAGGTGCAGAACAGTGTAGGGTTCGAGCTTCTTCGCTTCTTTATCAGTGCTACAAGTCCACACACGGAGTTCCGAGGATGGCATTGTCCCCGGAGTTTTGCTTTAGCAGCCAGCAAGCTCCGGAGGCCTGCAGGGGGCTTGACGCGCTTGTTGGGTTCAGTCAGCTTCCGGAGCATATCTCGGCTGCGTACGGAGGTTATCTGAGCCGTACAACCCATAAAACATACCACACCTTGACAAAAACCTCCCAACAGATCATCCCTTCTACTTTAGACAGACTGCCATGCAACTACGAGGACTGTGAGAGCATTCAGTTTGCCAGCTCGCTCCTCCGAACTGGCGACAGCCTTCTGGTTGGTTTTGGATTCTTGGTTGGCAGTTGGTGAGTTCAGAACCAAGGCACTGGCACTGAAGGTTGGATCTCGCATCAGCCAAGCAGCCAAGGTGTGCAAGATTGTGACTCCTTTGTCCACCAGTTCGATCTACACGAAGTGCTTCGATCGCTGGTTCCGATACAACATTAAGGTCTTATGTTTCAGATCTGGAGGGTTTGACCCTATAGAGGGTGAACTGCAATGTCAGCTGGCGCTGCTGCAGTGAGGCGGCCGCTTTGTCGTAAAATGCAGGCACAAAATTATGAACCCTGCTCCCTGCCTCAGCTCTTGCGACGATGGTTTGGCTTTGATATGATAGTCTTGCCTGAAGTGAGCCAAAGCAGCCATGGCGGGTCAAGGTTCAAGCTTCCAGCTAGCTTCCAGCTAGCTTCCAGCTTTTTGCAGCTTTCCACGTGCTGAGCATGTTGGGCCCCTGAAAAAGAAGCCCCGGAACCTCCAAGCCCTTGAACTGGCGCATTCGGCTCAGGTCGGAACACATGCAAGCACCCGAACAACCCCAAACATCCCTAAACCCCTTTTCGAACCAATTTTCTGGAGCCCTCGATGAACCCCCGAAACCTTAGCCTTGACCTGACTATCCTTCAGCGGCGACCGCAAATGGCTCCACTCGATGCTGGAAGCAATGCCCTTCAGCCTTCAACCAAAGTTTGGAAATGAGGGTCAAGATTCGGGGCTTCTTGGGTTCAACTCGTTTCAACATTGCTCCGAACTGAGAAGATTGCTGTAACCCCCTCGGGCAGGTTCATGGGCGTCTTCTGAAACCTTGTTCTGGACATCTCTGAATGCAAAGCTGACAAGAACGGCTTGTGTTGTCTGTGAAAGGTGTTCTGGGTTTTCCTGCTGCACCGCGAACCCTTGAATGAAGACCTTGTTCCTTCATCTCCTGAGGACACAACTGTTAGAATCCTGGCCATGACAAAGCAAGGAGCACCAAAGATGCCCCAAAGCCTTTGGCCCTTCTTTTGAGGAGCACCCCCTTCACAATGCACTCGTTTCTCACCCAATCAACTATGGAACAGTGCTGCGCGGGTGTGAGAGTCGAAGGTGGGGACGGGCTTAACTTTTGCATGTAATGCTAAACTCGTTTGGTCATCCACCTCATTGTTGGGCTGGTTTTTCTGTTTTGCGCCCAGATTGTTTCTTTCTCTCTGGTATGTGGGTACGTACCCTGCCCTGGTTGTTGTGAGACTCGCAGTCGATTCTCTTCCACAGTCTCCTCGTCGGAGGTTACGGTGCAGCGTATCGACCCGAAGGTTCTTGCCGGAATGGCCTGGGGACCAAGATGCCTCTGCGGAGACAGTGTTGTTGCTGCTGGGGAGGGAGGCCTGTTCTCCTGAGATGGCGCAGGTACAAGGTGCTTTCAGGTTGATGTGACCCAGGGCCTGGGCTTCGGAGCATGAGGGTGGTCGCATCGACCCTCTGAACCATGTGTTGCCCTGTGAACACTCCTCTTGGAGTTGAGGTGAACCGCTTCACGGCGGAAACAGGCAGCTTCCTCGAGGCCTTCGCGACCAGAGCGGAGGCTGGAGAGTCCTCCCGTTTCTGGTACTGGCCAAAGAGCGCATCACCATGCACCCCCAATTCTTCTCCTCAAGGCCAAGCTCTTGAAGCTGGATCAGAGGATTGAGCGCCTGGATAGGCCATCGCCGGGGCTGCGAGTTCTTGTAACTTGCGATCTGCTTGCACGTGGGGTCCGGTCAGGCTCGGGTGAAACGATGTATTGGAATCTCTACGCCACTGGACGCCTTGCGTCCCTCACCAGGTGTTTGGTCATCTAGCCTCCAACCAGTCCCAGCACCCCCCCCCCCCAACACCCCCCAACCGGAAGCTCGCAGATGCCCAGACTCGCAGGCATCAAGCAAGCGAGATCGTTGATGAAAGTCGAACATTTGTGGCTGCCACAGCTTGCGGAGGTCTCAGCGGAAGACCCCTGCTGAAAAGGTCCACTTCACCCTAAACTTGAGAAAACAGAACCTCAACTCACCAAACCAATCGCGAACCTGGAAAAGGCGCCCCAGAAGCCTGAACCGCACCAGACAGCTAGTCTGTAGGCATCATTTATTCTAGCCATGCATCCAGAATGCATCCAGAACTTGTCTAATTTCAGAACAGACCCAGAAGCGCACGAATGGTTTCCCCAAAGAAAAGAAGACTTTGCATTACATGGCATTGCATTGCCATGGCGGTCGACGTGTGCCCAGCTGACTTCACCAGCTACCTCGCATCCCGATTGCTCTATTCTTTTGTCGTGTGGGTCGAAGGCGCGCAAGTGCAGAGAAAGGAGAAGCGACCTGCACTTTTGGGGCACAGAGTCCAAGGCCGAGGAGGAGAGCATCTTTCCCTGTGCTCTGACCTTTTGTCGGCCTCGCACCTTGCCTTTTTGGGGGCTCATGTTCATATGCTGGGCGCACCAGAGCCACAAGTTGGAAGCGTGAGCCGGTGCAATGTTGGGAACGGTTCAGGGTTGGGTTTGCTATGGCCTGCAGGCACTCAGGATTGGAAAATCGGTGCATGGTTTAGAGCCTGTTAGAGACGAGGACTGCTGGGGGAGGAGGGCCTGCCCTTCGCCGAGGTGGAGTGGCTTGGCATGTGGAGGGGTCGGGAACAATAATACCCCCCACCCCTCTGCTGAAGTTGAAGGGGTAAGGAGTGCTGGTTGGGTGGCTGCAGACTGTTCAGCAATGAAAGAGTGTGTTGCGCACAAGGCACTTTCTTTTCGACGACCCAGGCAGACCTAAAACCTAGACCCCTCAACCCCTGCGCCTGCTCCAACCCCAAAGCAACATAAAGCAACCAAGGTACCAAGACAAGATCCACTCGGTGCTGGAGTGGCCTTGCCTGGGACTGCCTTTCGCCTTCGCCGAAGGTCATCTGCAGGTTCGCGTGCTCTTGGACCGAAGAAGGGGCGGGGCGGTGGCACGGGCAGAGGAGAGGTTACTCATTGGAGGTCTGTTTTTTGAGGAGTACTAGCAACGCATGAAGGGCGCAAGCTTTTCATGCGTGGTATCCTGTTCAAGCAACGCGGAACCAGTTATCTGTCGGCGTGGTGCATTTTTTGCTATGGCATGCATCAGGCATAATTCTGTGGGGGGGGGGGTGGAAAGACGGCCAGCCGGCAACAGCAGCAGCAGCAGCAGCAGCAGCAGCAGCAGCAGCAGCAGCAGCAGCAGCAACAACATGCGCCCTGCCCTAACAATGCAACAGCTCCAGAACACCCCTGCCCCCCCATCCCAAATCAGATCAGAAAACGTGCGCCCCACAACGACAACACACACAACGAGAGTAAGCAGTTTTGAGAGACCTTGGAAGGCAGAGTTATCTCTGCCTTCCGAGAGTCCAGTGTCTTTGGCTGTGTCAAAAGGGGAAGGCTTTTTATAGCTTCGCAAGAGCATGGACTGAGCTCCCGAAACCCCAAAAGCCCTAAAATTATTGTACTTCGAACATCCCCACCCTCTCCGGGCAGAGAACTCTGGGGTTGGACACTCTGGGGTTGGGCACTCCAGGGACACTCTGGGGTTGGGCACTCCAGGGATGAGCGAGGAGTAGACCGGGCGAGGAGAAGAGTTCGGAGAAGAAATGAGCTTAAAATCTAACAACCCCAGACCGATGTACGCCCCCCCCCCCCCCACCCCCTGAGACGCTCATGCTCAGCATGCTCAGGTTCCTGGCCGATGATGAGGCTTCCTACCTTCAGGAGGGGACTGACGCCCGAGCCAGAAGGGGTGCAGATTTGTTTGCCTCGAGTGTTTTGCGTAGTGTTCTCTCCCGTTTCACCTTTCGTTTCTTCACGTAGTACTAGTTTCATAAGTGTGGGGGGGATGCGGACGCAACAAAGAAGGTTTAGGGCTTAGGGTTTATTGTTTCGGCGCATCATAGTCACTTGTGAGATCAAGATTGAGCGCAAATGTCGCTTGCTCACGAAGTGAGTCTCTGGTCCTTGGGCTCTTCCTGATCGTTGCAGGTCATTTGCACAATGGGTTTCTAGACTCTCTGGTCCCTCCCCTGAACAAAAAGGAAAGGCAAAGAACAAGTTGCGACCCTGCGAGCGGCAAGGGTGGCAAGGAGTGCCGTGCCTCAAATCCCGAACGTGGACAGCAAGACCTTGTCACCCCAACACCGTCAAACTCCATCGCAGATGGTGTAACGACTGATAATGACCGCACTCCTTGGAATTCCCCCCCAAACCCATGGTTGCCCATCCTTTCAATCCGCTTTTCATTGGCAAAGAAGCTGCAGGAGAAACGCCGCCCGCTGGGTGGTTTCCGCGTTTCCCTCCAGGTGCCGCGGGCGTGTCATGGCTCATGGTTGGCGATTCGTCGGCCTGTGATTTTGGCACTTAGGTAGCACAAGTTCACAGTTTTGTCTCAAGAAACCCTAGCCCCGGACGACGACGACGGACTGGACTGGCACTGCCCGTCTGCAGCAAAATCGACGAGTAGAGGACCAAGTGGCGCACTCTGCTGCAACCCCTTGACAAGAGCCATGCCGTCTCTCCTTGTCCTCTCCGTGGGTTCCAGCGCTTCCCCTGCGTTTGCAAGTGGACCATGTCATGCAAGAGCAGTGTTTCACAACATCGGTTGTTCTTGAACGCTCGGTTGAGACATGGCATGACCACGCAGGCAAGTCCGACAATGGGGGAACACCGGCGAGAGTCCACGAGGTGAGTCCCCGAACTACCGAAGCAAGGCAGACATCCACTGTTCCTACACGCGCACGAAGATCGACGCGATCTTGGTAACAAGACGATGAATCGAAGCTCGACCTGCGCACCCTGAGCAACCGGTTGAAGAAGGAGCAATTGTCGAATAGCAGCAAGGTCCGTGAAATGGTGAAACCTGTTGGAACAATCTGGAAGTGGGAGATATGTGAAGGGAATGAAGCTCTTGAAGCCAGAACGACAAAGGGGAGGCCCGAAGCAAGGACTGCCACGCGCCGACCTTCGACACGAACGAGGAACAGTGGCATAAGGACATGGCGTCCAATGCTCGCAACGCCTGCAAAAAAAACAGTCAGATTTTGCTGACTCCCGGAGGGGGGTTGGCATATCAAGGCAAGGTCGGCGTGTCATGCGTCAGCGAGCTCAAAACAACTGGCGAGGCGGCCTTTGTAGGTTGTATGCAGTCTTTTTTTGCAGCACATGGCATCAAAACCCTACAGGGCCTAACGCAATGCCTTGAAGGACCTGGAACTCCGGTCCATGACCTCCCAGGAGGCGAGGGTTTTCAAGGTTTCAGGCCCTACTTCTTTCTTTTTTTTATTCACCAAGTCTCGGCCAAGGTGTGGATGCCCCTGTCCCGCCGTGGGTTGGAGGACTGGTTATTTGGGCACTTGTTTATGGGTCTTGGTTTGAAGGGCGAGTTGTATTTGCACCACACCCTGCCGTTCCCTCTACAGCCTGAAGCCCAAAACCCCTCGAAAGCCTGAAGGGGCCTGCACACGCGGAGGAGGAGGAGGCGCAGAGCCTATCGCCCATCCATCGACGGCCTTTGGGACCCTCCATGCGTAGCGCACCCGGAAAAGCTGTTCCACCCCCAGCACGTGCCCTTCACCAACATCACCAACCCCAAGCCGCCAAACGGGTGGTCTTAAGACTGCGGCCTTCTGGCCTGGCCACGTTTAAGGCATACTGCTCCAGCACCGGGAAAGTCTCGAGAAACGAGTTTGGGCACTTTCCGTCGCAGAGAGGCAGGGCCATGGCATAAATAGCATAGAGTATGCATAACATGACCGCATCATGAGTATCATGGGCATGGGCATCAGTCAGATGCGTGTCACGAGCTGAAGTTGCATGGGCTTGGCATGGCAACTGTCCCCACACTGCGCATCACAAGCGGTAGCTGCGCCAGCCCGTACTTGGCATTGACAGGGCGCACATCTTCTTGTGAGAGGGGGCACATGCCTTGATTTTACGCTCGAGGACGAGGTCGAAACAGCACACCCCCAACTGCTGGTGCAGCTCCGAGGGAAAGGGAAACCCCTGGAAAGCCAGAAGCACACACCTCACGGGAGGCACGCACGCCGTCGTACCTCCAGCAGCTCCATGGCTGTGGTACCACCCTCAGACTTGGGCGCCGAAAGCCTTTGGAAGTCTCGCCAAAGTCCAGATTTTTAGAGCGGATGGCAGTCGGGATGTGGGAACTCAGGCGTCGGAGTTTCACTGCAAGGAAGTGCCATGCGAGGTTGACAGATGTGTGCAAATATTGCACCCTTTCGGTTCTGCACTTCTGAGGGCATCGAGCCTTTCGTCCACAGGCCTCTTGCGGTCAGGGAAGGGTGAGGATCACAAACGCGTGTTTGCATGTTTTCTGAGCATTGTGGAGCCGGGAGGTGGAGGGAAAGTGGGCTTTCAGGATAGGTCCCGTTCATGTGTGACGATGTCATAGCGCTGTGCGAAAGGCCCGAGGTGGCGGAGGGCTCTGGGTCCGTGGCGCGGTGGCGGCAGAAGTTTGAGAAGCAGCAGGATTCAACATGCCTCACTCGAGTGCAGAACCGAACTCTCAGAAACCTGAGAAGCAGGCACCCTGGAATCGCTGCATTGCGTGTCGATGCTGACCGGATTTCTACATGAGCAGTAGCTCCGACTGGGAAGCTAGCTTTGCAGGAGCACACCGAGATGTTGCTTCAACAGCATGACGAGGCCATTCACGGGCATGGCTTCAAAGTTGAAGGACGAAGTTGCAGGTTCAGAAGACATGCAGCGCTCATGCAGTACCTAGGAGCTTCATGACATGCCCGCTTCCGACAGCCAGCACTGCTTGCATCTGCATTCGATCTTTGGTCTTGGTGCGTGCTGCAAGGCGCTGACTACTCTTGCGAGAGAATCCCAGCAGCTTGCCCAGTCCAGAAGTAGCAGAACCCCGCCGCCACGCAAGAAGTATGCCTGGGTCACAGTCGTGTCAAGCCCAGGTCTCGACTTCAGAAAGCCGCCTCAGTGCCATAGCTGGAACATGGGAAGGGGAGCGAAGGGGACCGAGCAGAGTCTCAGACAGGGACGAACTTCGCGGGGTTGTGGGGTTTGGGCTCTTAGGTGCACTCAAAGGTTGGGACGTTGGGTTTTGGTGGTGGGGGGGGGCCGCCCCGGGGGGCCAGTCAGTATTTGTCCAGCCATTCCCCAACTACCCATCTTGTCTTTCCGAAAGTGATGCTTCGTGCTGCTGCTGCTGCTGCTGCTGCTGCTGCTGCTGCTGCTGCTGCTGCTGCTGCTGCTGCTGCTGCTGCTGCTGCTGCTGCTGCTGCTGCCGCTGCTGCTGCCGCTGCCTGCTGCTGCTGCCAACAAGTCAGAAACATTCAGCAACATGCATCCTCAGAGGGATGGGCGGTTCCAGTTGGTGGAACTGCGCATGGCAGTTTGAGAGAGGCATTGGGTGAAGCGTCGAGTTTTGGCCTGCCAACATCGACTGCAGCCAGGTGGCAGACTGCGCCCATCGGCAGTCGCTGGCTTGCCTGGTCGATGCTTGCCTCAGGCGCACCTGTCATGTTTTCTAGCTCGTATCCCATATCCTCAATGTGAGGTTGGCGGAAGGCTGTCACCTTCACTGAAACCCCGAACACAATGACCACCACCACCCTTATGGCGTCTTATGACAAAACACACCCAGGAGCTGGGCAGCATGGGTGGCTGCGGAGATGCCCGCGCTGCAACTTCATGTAGCCGAGGCTCGCGAGGCCTTCGGAACTGAAACTCCCTAATCAGCGCAGAAATCAGAAAGCCAGGCATTTGGGCAAGGGCAGGGAAACGCTATCTGGCAAACTTGCTAGGCGGGTGGCACAATTCATGTGACTCATACAGCCATCATATAGCCCGAGCCAGATGTCAATCAGGGTGCAGTTGGGTTTAAGGTGGGACGGAGTGGGCTGCAGCCCAGGAAACGCGAACGCCAGTTCGAGCAGGTGGCTGAGGACCTTCAGGCCACTTGAGAACTTGAGACTCTTTGAAGCTTGGAGTTTTCCTGGGCGACCCAAGGAATCTTTGCAATCAGCCTGATACCACCAGGCCTTCCGCGATCGCTGCTGCTCCAGCCGCAGTGCGGGCCAAGCGAAGGCTGGACCAAGTCCTCTCTGCGTTGCCACTACTCGCTGCGGTGCGCGGCTGTTCCCCCCCCCCGCCCAAAGAAAAAGCCCGACAGGCTCCCAGATGATTATCAGATGATTAGAGTCCAAAGTGACTGCGGATTTCCGCGCAAGAGTTGTTGAAAGAGTGTATGAGTCAAAAGACAATCTCGCTGCCCCTGGCAGAGGTTCTGGAGCTGCGCAGCGAGCATGAGCAGCATGGCTTGCCTTCAACATCATGTAATGCACGGCAGGTCATGCTGAACGGGCGCACGACACCAGATCTAAAGCATCTGGAAAATTTTCGCGGCGGTCTCCCCAAACATTGAAGGCACCAGCCCAAGCCGCCAAACTCCTTATGCATTGCCCTGTGCTCGCACCCCTTTCCTGAGCTGTGCACTCAGGAAGGCGCAGCAGGAGGCTAAGCGGCAGGACAGGGAGCCTCCTTTTTGTGCATGCGACGCTCTGCGGTCAAGTTCTACAATTAGGTAAGATTGTGTCACGGCAGGGGGGGGAAAGGCCCATTCAAGCGTGCTTCATGTTGCTTCGATGCCTCCACATGCCTCCACATCTGTATTCCAGCGCAGGGGGCCTTGCGCCAAAAGAACTTGATCACCTTAGCGTCCTGGCTGTTGCACGGAGAAATGAGGCCCCTGGGGCCTGACCAAATTGCCCGGGACCAAGCAACTTAGCCTGGTCAGCCTTGGAGGTCTCAGGCGTACACGTGCTTCAACGCCTGGGTGCTCCATGTGCGCCCTGGCTTCCGAGAGATTTCAGGGCTTTAAGAGAAGGCAAGGCTGTGACGAGCTGGACCGCAGAATTCCGAAGTCTTCTGAACGTTGCCGTGGCTTGAGTCCTCGTCGATGCCATGTCAAGGTGTCAGCGTGCCTTCCTCCAGCGCATCCACGACACGCAGAATGCCAAGCATAGCCAGCAGCCTGACTCCATGAGCTTGCCTTGTGGGGCCCTCGCGAGCCTTCTAGCACAGCATGGAGGTGCCGACAGGTGTTGTTATAGGTGCTTTCACTAACTAAACTTTTATGACCTAAAAACATCCACAGCATGGACATGCCGATCGGCAAGTTGTGAGCTGAGATGAAAGCGGCTAGTATGTGCCATCAAATTGCGCAAGACTCGACACCCTCAACGTGCCAAACCAGAGGTTGTTCCTGCTCTCTGCCCTGCTGGCGTGGCGCTCTCTTTGCGGAGATGAGCAGCACCCTGGCCCAGCACACTAAGCTTGAGTCGATCATTGTTAGGTCCATCGACCGCACGTGGTTTTTGCGTCTTCAAATCCTTGCTGGCTTCGTTAAGTTAATAGTATCATCTTCTCAGGCCATTGCAGGTTCCTGTCGCGATTGAGCGGGCCACTGCCAGTCCGCTAGCATGCCATTCATTGTCCTTTAGAATATGGTCGCTTGGGGTTGACGAAGTGGAGGGGAGATTGGGATAGGGCATTCCTCGACTGAAGGTGCGGTTTTCTCATTCTCTCAGGCTGGAGAGCCTTGTGGCACAGTGCCACCAGAAGGAGGCAAGGAGGGGGTCGCCGGGTCGGTAACTGGAGAGACCTTAACTCTCTGATAAAAGGCTCCTGTCAAAGCAAGTTGCGTTCAGTGGCTTCAGGATGAACAAGCAACATGGTCAATTCCAACAAGGTGGAAGCACTTGCGCTGCTTCTATTGTGCAGGCATTTTGCTGAGCCAAGCAGGAGAGAACAGCGATAGAGCTGCTGGGTGTGATGTCGTTCGAATTTTGGGGCTGTCCCACGATACCGTCTGCAGAGTATGAGAGGAGATGAGAGTGCAGCTCTGCTTTCTCGCAACTCGAGTCGGGCTTTTGACAGGCACGCAGTTCGATCTCAAGGCCTACCGCACACACAGACAAACTTGAAGATGCCATAGCTACGGAGAATTACGCCAAGCCGCCAGATCACAGATGGCTATGGAGAATTACGCCAACATGAAGCCGCCAGATCACAGATGGGACTCAAAAGACCATCGGAAGCAATGGACCCATTCCTTTCGATAGTCTTTTCGTACAGGTTTCACGAGGAGTGGCGCAATGGGAATGCGAGCCATGCATTGGCATCATTTGGCATCTATCAAGACTATCAAGATGAGGCTCATGGACGAGCATGAGATGCACTCAAGACCGCGAGAATCCCAAGACTGAGGTTCCCAAAGGCGAAGAACACGAAGATGAAGCAGATCATGCTGATGGCATGTAGGCATCGGTACAGCCCTCCGTCTCGGCCACCAAATTGGCATACAGAAAACTCACTGCTGCAACACGTGCCTTCATGAAGTGCTTGAGCTGTATGGTTTCTAGGTGTATGGTGCCTTGGCTTGAAAGGCGGGGGTCTTCCTGTCACGCCCCTTGTCGCCCAGACTTCAGCTCCTTTAGGCTGAGTGCCCCGAGCCCTCGCTGCCTCACCAGGTCTCCGCCTCTCGCATGGCTCGCGCTGCTTCAGCCGAGGCCTTGCGCAGAGGACCCCACAAGCCAAGATTCCCATGCACGGAGACTCCAACCCCCAACTGCTTCAGCAGGTCCTTCCAGAACAGTAGACCCCATGGAAGACTGGCAGAGAACAGCAGAATCTTGAATTGGCATTGTCCGACAGCCAGCGTTTACAAACGTCTGCGCATGCTCCTCGAAAGCACGCCCCAAGCGTCGACGAGGCTTTTGCGAGCTGCGTCGAGCGTACAGCACGCAAAGGCGTGCTGGAGGCTCGAGTAACCGGAACCAGGGGGTTGTTTCAGCAACTTTGCTTCAGCGTCAGGAACGTGTTTCAGGAACTCGGCCAAAGCTGTACCAGGCACTGTGTGGAGGCTTGTGCAGTTCCTGTTTCATGGCCCCCTCGTTCTTGTTGCGTCTTGGTCGGTTCCTGAAACGCGTGGCGCGCTGGTTCCTGTTACGCCTGCTTGGTTGTGGAGGCTCGCCACATCTGTGGTTTTAGGGAGCGGGGGTTGCGGCCAGCTTGGCTGACCTGATGCCTGTGCTGAGCAAGAGAACCAGACATCAGTACCAACACTTGACTGACAAACGGAGTCCGAGTGACGCATCATGTACGAGCACCTTCGAGCACAGGGTGCCCTGAAAAGAAAACCTCCAAGTCGGAGGCGTCCCTGGATTCCTGGGTGAACTACCTCGGCCGGACCCGGTTCAATCAGGAGCCCCGAAACGGAGCAACCAGTGAGCAGGTAACTGCAGTGTGGATTTGCATGTGCTCCGACTCTCCTCACCAGGTCTTCCTCAAAGCGCCGAAAGGGTCCCAACTCCAGGTAGTCCCATATTGCTCCTCAACAGAATGTTCTCTCAAGAGTCAAGAGCAGCAGTTTTTGTCACTCGAGATGCTGCGAGTGGAGAATGTGGGAGTTTTTTTTTGAGGAGCTGGGAGGGGTCTTCTTCGACCTCACCGGACGTCTGGATGCGAAGCGTCTCCTGGACCCAAGGGCGAATCACACTGTCATGTGGGGCGGCATACCACATACGGTCCATACGTATTCCATGCGGATTCTATCATATTCTATCATGGCCTCTTCGGCAGTGCTTGGCAATGGCAATCTGATGCAATGCGGGTGTTGCGGCGCTCGGGTTAGGGCTCGGCTTGCAGTCTACATGTAGGTACGGCCTTTAACTCGGCATTGTCGGTAAAAGGACAAGTGGTTCCAGGGTTCTGCACTGTCATGGATGTTTGGGGGCACGGGTGGCAGGGATGCTGATTTTAACCCCAGGCCAGTACTCAAGTCCAACTCCATCCCAGAAAGCTCGTCAGGGAACGAGGCGGCCTAGCTCAGTGCCCCGGGCCACGTAAGCAAACAGCACAGATGGGGTCGAGGGTTCCGAGTCTGCTTGCAGGTGCCAAGTCTTGTAAGCACAGAGGAGGGAACAAAAAGTAAGCCGGAACAGCACTCTGAATCCGAGCAAGAACTCAGTCCTGCAATCGTCCCCTCGTTGTATGGCATTGTCTTGACGGCTATGTTTAAGCTGCATGACTCTAATTCAGGGTTCATATTCCCAACTTGGCAAATCTCGCCATACAGTCATAGGCACTGTGGCGTGGGAGCGGGCTGGGCAGAATGGGCAGCAGTCGAGTCCCTTGTGAAACATATTCGCAAGTCACAAGCATGACTCAGTGTATCAGCCAAGCCTAAGCCGATTAGAGACCGATAGAGTTGATGTTCCCTAAGAGTGTTGGCTGATCGGAGGGAGTCGAGTTTGCAATTGTTGTTCCGTCTCCCTTGTTGCTTCGAGGGCAGGGTCGCACACGAATGCATACCGGACTAACATGGTCTGCCATTGCTGTCGTGAGCGGTTCCTCGTTGCCAAGCACGTGATAGAGCCCTCGCGCAAAAAAAGAACAAGTAGGCTTGGCACTTTGCAACTCTCCAGGAGTCGACGCTGCTCACTTGGCACTCGGCGGTCTGCCATGCCGACGCTCAGATCCAGGCCGGGAGAAAAGAGGTGGCACATGGTGGCACCAGAGATTAGAGTTATGGTGCCGACAGCCCATACAGCCCACAGAGGTGGAGACGACAGTGGCTTGGGTTGCTTGCGCTGGGAATTTGTTAAATGCCGTTTTGTGACTTTGAGACGAAATTTGAGCCACGGAAGTGCGAGATTGGATTGGAGTCTCCCTGCTGAGTGGTTCGTCCAGCTATGCGGGTGCCAAAAAAAATGGTCACCGAACCACAAGCTACGTTGCCACATGATCATTCTTACCCGGTCCATGCCTGATTTTGGTGGAGCTCTGCTAGCCCGTCACCAGACACGATTCGCTGGCAAGTGAACCTGAACAGTTGTTTTTTTGTAGAGTTGCGTGTGCGTCTGAGCACGTCGTTATGGTAATCGCCCTATCTGACGTGTCCCTTCTCCCTCGACCGACCTTTGGCTAAAATTACCAGGCCGAGCGTGCCGGGCGCCGCGCTCGGGCGCGGAGACGCCGAGAGCTGACGCTGCGAGTGATGGCGCCTGGCGAGCAGTTAGAATATTGAGGGCTTGGCGGGGTGCGAAGTCTCCTCGAGTCGACGAAGTTGGTAGTTTGGCGGTAGTTTGGAGAAGCGTTGTTTCGGTCAATGGGCTCGGCTTCGAAGTCTAGACAAATAAACCCGGATACGTATCCAAAACCCAGGAAGTTCAGCGGCCTTGTTGTCCTTCCTGAGCGGGATTTCTCTGAGGATGCACCAGCCGCTGTGCGCATGAACGGCGCGGCCTGGTTTGCCTTCTGCCGCTGGCGCGATGTTGTGCAAGAGCAGTGCTTTCAGAAGGCCATAAGCTTTCCCCTGGAGTGCTCACGCAACTTTTCGATGTGGCATCCGTTTTGTCCTGGGCGGTACAAGGGTGTTAGAGAACAGCGTTTCATAGGGCTTCCAGCAGCACAGTCCGTTACAGTTGGGGGTCGTTTTGAAGTGCTGTCATTCCGTTGACAGGAGAGACCTCAGTCACCTCGCCTGAGTCGAAAACGCAAAAGCCAAATCTCTAAAGCCTATTTGCTCGTAATGAAGACTCGTGACCCGTTGAGGGTTGGGATTTTAGGGTGCAGTGCTGATAAAGTTATCTGGCTGATTCGCCCGGCAGTCCAGATGCAAAAAAGGCCAAAGCAGAGTTTACACAAAAAAGGCTTTGGGTTTATAGGTGCCAGATGCAAAACAAAGGGTTTCGGTCGGGCTACGGCAGTGGATGCAAAAAGGTTTAGAGTTTCAGATGCACACACTCGGCTCCTGTTGTCGTGCTGTCTTGGAATTGTATGCTGACTCGTGCTCACTTGCTTTCAAACTCGGTCTTTTTGTTTTCGGACTCGGTCCATGCGGTTCTCGACTCATTTTCCCGGCAAGACGGTCGCCCGATGTAAGAAGCAAACCGGTTCAGAAAGAAAGAATGGCCCCTGTGCGATTAAGCCGGTGATGAAGGAAGGAAGGAAGCAGGAAGCAATGTTCGCAGAAGCTTCGGTGAAGAGCGGAATCCTGACAGTCAATGCGTGCAACCCGAAAAAGTCCGCTCACGATGGAGGAGAAGTGTCTGACCGACCCGACATGTTGTAGCCGTGTTGCGCCGAGATCCCTGGCCATGTTCAGGTCATGGAGTCCCATCTGACACAGAAGGAGCAGGCTCCGCAGCCCAAATCCCTGAAAGGCAAGCATGCGAGTGTACTGTTGATGCATTGCTCCAGCTTCGAAAGCAGAAAGGGAGCGAAGCCCGCTTATCAAGTGGAAGGTTAACGAAGCCCCAAGCTCTAGTGAAGCTCCAGTCTTCTGTTTTCCACAGCTGCATAGTAAGTTATGGCCTCTGTTGCTTTTGAGCTTGCCCTAAGCGCAGGGGGAATGTTTATACAATTAATGATTTGTAAGCTAGCTCCCCTTTGGCAAAAGATATCCATGTGCTCCTAGTGTGCCATTCTTCCTCGAAGCATGGCAGGAGGTCCAGTGCTAATACGTCCTCTGGGTTTCAATCGCACTCCCAGGCTTTAGTATCTTTGCAGGATGAAGTTGAGGTTTGTGGGTTCCGGAGCGCAGTCATACCCTATTTGGCACAAGATCCTAACTTACACGGAGGCCCAAGCCGAGATCCTGAGCGCGACAAAGGAATTGGCGAGTCTCCAGCGCCTTGGATGAGGGCTGCCGGTGTGGTTAGGGTACTGTAGCAGCACCAACCTTTCCTCTGGTTAGGGGTTGTCTGAGGTTCCAAACAGTTGAGATATTTGAGGAGAAGCAGGGTCTTGAATGTTGAGAATCTGTTGCTAGAATACATGCCAGGGTTGAGGTGGGGAGGCACACCATGGGACACTGGCAAGCATACCACACCGGCTTTGAAACCCGTATGCCCCCCCCACGAAACCCGCGAGGAGCTGCATGGCTCTGTGTCCTGGGCATTCGTTTGTCGTGACTTTGTCAACCTCTTAGTCTTGCGGCCCATGAAGTTCTCAGGGACAACATGGCCCTTGAAGAGAAGCAGTGGGCCTCGGAGCGAGTGGACCTTTGGGCATCTTGGCATGCGATTGATGCACGGGTCCCGGTTCTTTGATTGCTCAAGTTCCCACGTAGTGCTAGGGTTTCTGGGGAGGTACAGGCGTTAGTACAGGCAAGACCATCATTTTAAGCGTAGGGAGAGGTTTCCTGCAAGGATCGCCTCCAGCACTTGCGGGTGATGCTGACGGAGAGCAAGGCGAAGCGTCAGGATGGATCGCCGTCTTGACATGTCTCGCGTTGACTGCGAGTTGGTTCATATTTGAATTAGGAGTTTGGCTAAGTCTCGAAGAGGATGAATTTGGATCCCTGCAATTTGGGCATGAGAGGCAGTGGAAGGGCTTGTGCAGGCCGGCAGAAAGTCACTTATGTCAGACAACAGCCCAGAGCAGATTTGCCCACATGATGCTGATATATGCTGCTTGAAGGTGCTTCATATTAAGCCGTGCGTTGGGTGCTTTGCAGGTTCAGGTGCTTCAAATCACGTGCTCTAAGGGCTTGGGTTTGTGTGTTGTGTGTTGTGTGTTGTGTGTTGTGTGTTGTGTGTTGTGTGTTGTGTGTTGTGTGTTGTGTGTTGTGTGTTGTGTGTTGTGTGTTGTGTGTTGTGTGTTGTGTGTTGTGTGTTGTGTGTGTTTTGTGTGTGTGTTTTGTGTGTGTGTGGGTGTTGTGTGTGTTGTGTGTGTTGTGTGTGTTGTGTGTGTTGTGTGTGTTGTGTGTGTTGTGTGTGTTGTGTGTGTTGTGTGTGTTGTGTGTGTTGTGCGTGTTGTGCGTGTTGTGTGTGTTGTGTGTGTTGTGTGTGTTGTGTGTGTGTGTGTGTTGTGTGTGTGTGTGTTGTGTGTGTGTGTGTGTGTTGTGTGTTTTGTGTGTGTTGTGTGTGTTGTGTGTGTGTTGTGTGTGTGTGTGTTTTTGCTGGGGGAGGCTCAAGCCACCTCTCAACACCCAAAACAGCGTGATCAAACAACTCAAACAAATAAAACATCTCCAGTAAAACTAAAGCCACTGTACATCTTGAAGGTTGACTTCTGCGGGTGTTGCTGTTGCAGGTTTCCCCACTGCAAGACACGTAGTTGTTCAAAGAAAATGGACAGCAGATGTGACCAGAGTGGTCGGGAGGGAGCGATATGGGCTTTCGGTGGTTCGTGCAGTTTGTTTCTTAGAGATTTTTGGCAAGGGGGGCAAGTGATCTGTGTCGTTCTCGTTGTCCTTCTCGTTGGTGTTGTTATTGTTGTTGTTGGTCGCTGTTGTGGTCATTCGTTTGTTTCTTTCTTGTGGTTTTTGTCGGTGCTATGGTTTTATTGGTGTTGCTGGTGTGTTTGCCGTTTGCTCTTCTTGTCCTTACTCTGAGATGCCCTTTTTTGCAGCTGTTTCCTCTCGTTTTTGTTGTCGTTGTTGCCGATGTCTTATGTGCCTCTCTTAGGGCTCAAGCTTCTGGTAAGCGTGAGAATGAGAAATTGCTGTGTTTTAGTGGTGGAGCCTTTCGGCCTTTGGTTGGAGGAGACATCATGCGGAGCCATCAAATGTTCCACGGCTTCGCACCCGAGCCGAAATCGCCATCGGGCCCCCCTCCGCCCCTTCCCCCAGGAGCTGCACGATCAACGGCTGCTTTTGGCGCCCTGGCAGTCTGTTCTGCAAGCGATATTCGTTGCAAAGCTTCGCCTTATTGGCTTGGAGAGTGATGTTCATACTCTGTTTGTTCTTGGGCTCTTATGGAGTACTTGGGCTAGCGTGTGACCTCTGTAGCTGGTGGGAGTCTCATCCGGGATCTCTCGCGCGCCCTGCCCACTTCAAAGCTTCAGTCCTCGTGTCCGAATGTTATCGAATGTTTATGTTGAACAACTTCCTGTGTTTGTGTGATCGAATGTTTATGTTGAACAACTTCTTGTGCTTTTGTGCAGCTGAGGAGGCGAGAAAGGACCGGTGCACGCGGCAGTGACAGGGGTAGGAATAAAGTGTTCTAGTAGCTGCCAAATCTACGATTAAGGGCTTGTGCGTTGCTTGAACTTGACATGAGAGCAGTTCCTCGAGGCGGAAGCAACTTGTGCCAAGCTTGTGGCTGCACATCTTCAGAACAAGCATGTAAGTAAGCCCCCAAATCTGCACAACTATCACGCATGAAGCCTTCTCGGCTCTCAGCACAGGGTTTGAAACGGCTTCCTGCCTGTGCTGTCTCTTCCATTGTCCAGGTCCAGGTAGAGCCGGGGATTTTTTGTTGGGTGCCATTCTAGATTGAGAGTGCAGTTCTCCTTCGCCCGCGGCGACGCATCCAGCGACGCCCTGGCCAGCACCTCAAACGCTCGAAAACATGTTGCTGCTCGGCTCGAATTCAGTACTTCTCAGTACTTCTCTCAGGGCTGCTTTCAGTAGCTTGGGGCATCGGCTCAAGCTCCACTCTGATGGCAAAGTTCTGGAGAAGTAGGAAAGGTCTGCACAACAATGTCCGCCCGCTACAAAAACAGGTTCCTCGCCGGATGTTGTGTCCATGCCACGTTATCAATGTAGACTATCTCTGCCCACGTGCTCCTGTGACAGATGATAGATGATGATTTTTACAATCTCGGAAATGAGATTCTTGATGAATACGCTGTGGAAGCGGCACGAGCACGGCTCCATGACGACGGAGCATTGAGCAGGGTTCCCATCACAGGGGGCCCCTTGGTCCTGCCGTCCCGTGGTGTTTTTCTCCTTTATTCTCCTGGTGTCGCGGTCGACTGGCCAGCACACAATCAAGAGTGAGCTGCTACAAAGAACATGAATCTGTTCCAAACGTGCCATCAATGACATTCCTTCAAAACCACTATGAATCCTTTCCGAACCCATCTTGCAAGCATTTTTTGAGCTGTGCCAACTTGCTACAAAGGTGGCGTTTCTCAAAACCCATCTGAATCCTTTCCACACCCTCCCCCTCCTCCACCACCCCTCTGCTCTTCCGAGAATATCGGACCGTGAATAGGTGATTCCTTCAAAACCATGTGAGTCCTTCGACGAGTGAGAGGAGGTGCCAACTTAGATAAGGGGGAGTCGGCCCGTTGGTCGGATGTCGGACCCAACTTCCAGGTTCTGCTGCTGCGCAGCGGCTGCTTCTCTCAGATTGGGGGCCGTTCTATTCTAGCTCGGGGTGGCAGACTGAAAAGTCAGGTTGCGCGGGCTCACCTGCTTAAAGTTAAGGAGACATTTGTTGCAAAGACGTACATGCTTCACAAAATGGGGTGTGGCCTGGGAACGGACCCTGAAATTCTGAGCCCAGTAAGGAAGATGGAGACGGCAGCAAGATATCGGAGGAGCCGTTCAAGGCTATGGTGAAGACCCTCGGCTGATAGAGCACTCCGTGGCTAGTGTTGGGTTCCGTGTCACGTGCACACCAGAACTTCGAACCGCATATGGGATTCTGCACGCAACAGATGCCTGCTGCTTTGGTACTGCAAATTCGGCGCAGAGGACGGCGCCAGCGATGATGGAGCCAGATTCCATCCCGGATACCTTCACGATCCAGGCAACATGCAGTGATCATTTGAGGGTGCACTGGACCCCGAACCTTGAAGATCCTTGAAGCCCGAGAAGCCCCAAGCCATTCGTATCTTGCATACTTTGCACTTCGTAGAATTGCCAGCTCTCGTCTGTTTAGGCACGCCTTAGGCATTTCGGGGGAATGCAGGAAATAGGGTCTGGGAATCATGTTGACTGAGGTGAGCCCAGACGATGGGAAGCATGGGCTACAGGCCGGAAAAGGGGGGGGGAAGGGGGAGGGTTTCGTGTTGAGGGAATTGACTGGTGCGTCTATGTGGCCCTCAAGACGAATCTGCGCTTTGTGGGGTGCGCAGTTTAGGACAGCCTCCGCCCAGGAACAGCTTCCTTATACGGACGTTGGAACAGAGGGTTCCTTATATGCCGGATCTATGGCTCAGCAGCCAAGGAGGTAGCCAAGAATTTCACTGGCAAAAGTGTGGCAATTACATGTTGGGGCAGGGCCTGCGCCAGGTGGACGCCACAAATCCCGTGTGTCCTGTCATCAAGGACCACGTCGTTGTTGGAGGAGTTAGGCCACAGCAGGTTGTCCGCAGAAAGTCGGACTTGCGGTTTGCCGGCTTGCCTTTCTGTCAACGCCAAGGTTCCGATGGCATCGCAACCCGAAACCAACCGCAGCCCTGGAGTGTTGAATCAGTTACCTACGCAGGACGTGGCAGCGGGTGGCGCAGTGGACAAGTGGAACCAGCGCAACCCCGAGCGCCGCGTAAAAAGGCCCCTTGACCCAAGCACCAGCAACAGTCATGTCTTCTGTACCCATGGGCTTTAAGTCAATTCGGAGCCACCAGTTGGTTTCAATCATGGGTGGGACAGTTTCACGGAGTTCAATCAGGCTGGCCTGGGGATTGCTGAAGCCTGTCTGTGCCACCTCCAGAAACCACCTGCCCAGAAACCAAAGCTCACACAACAAGGCTTGATCGCGTGGTCGAGGTGAACGGCATCACTGGTCCATCGATTGACATCGCCAAGGCCACCGCCATGACAAGCAGCGGCGTAGGATAGAAGCATAAGCTCGCATCGGCGGGACGCCAGAATACTTCTCCAGGCCATCTGCTGGGTTGAGCACAGTTTCGTCCGTTATCGTCGGCTTCCATGCCTTGTGCAGATTCCAAACCGGCTGGTGACAGCAGGACCCCTCCGACATGATCTGTTCGAGGTAAGGGAGAGACAAGCCTTCAAGAGAAGGCAAGAACCAGGCACACGCCAGAGGCACAAGAGCTTCAGGCCCCTGGAGGTCCCCGGCGCCTCAGGTAGTCTTAAGTCTTACAGTGTCTGAGTTTTTGCCAACTAGAGCTGTTCCTGGCGGACCTTACTTTTCGCTGGATAGGCCTTGGACCTTACCGAGACGCTGAGCATTGTGGTCCAACGCCCCGAAGAGAGGTCTGGCCGCTGAAGGGTCTTCGCCACTTCAAATCGAAGTAGGAGCGAAGGAGTTGGAAGGAGCTGAGGGGAGCTGAGGGGCCGAAAGATTCTTGACGTGTGATACGTGTGCCAGCTGCAGGGGCACCCTGAAGGGGCACCCTGAAGGGTCTTCAAAAGTCGAAGCCGCGAAGCCCCCCCCCCCCCCCCAACGGTTTCTCAACCAACTGCAGAGGCACCTGAAGCTCCAGCGCCCGGGAGAGATCGGCATGGTCTTGAATTACAAGAAGGCTCCGCCACTCCTCTATCAGTCGTTGCATGTCAGTGAGCCCGACTGCCCCACTCTCTCCAAAAACGTCTCCAGATTGGGTCGGCCGCACCGTGGATTTCCAAGATTACCCCCGGCCTCTTCGAGTGAAATCAGAAGGGCCATCTGTCGATAGCCCGGCGGATGGAGGGACTGGAAGCTAGCAAAGATATGCAAAGATGGGCCTGGGGTTGCAGGCGTCATCGCATCATCTTGAAATGTTAGTGCTGGTGAAAGATTCAGCAATAAGCCGAGTTGAAGCACTTGAAGCCATTTCGCAAAACGTGCTTTGGAGATCGTCGTAGGGAACTTCCCTTCTGGGCTGCAGCCAAGGACTGCTGACGAAGTGGAACCAAGACGTGCCAGAGCAGGCAGTGGCATGTGAAGAACCGTGAATGGCCCACCTCAAACCGAGATGGCAATGCAGCAAACCAACCCAACAGCCTCAACGACATAAACGAAAACCCCGTCAGCATGCGAGCTCTCGTCCTCGCTTCCTTGCGATTCATTGCATCTTGCGGCGCAAAAAGTTTTCCCGGCGCAGCACTGTTCACCCCGTTGGCCCAAGTCCAAAGACAAGTTTCACAGAAAACTTGAACGATCCCACCGCCTCATGCACAGGCCGTGCAGCTTCATGACCGCATCGTGGCTGTGAACGGAGCAATGGGAAGGCCTGACGAGATGCTGCAGCCTGGCAAAGAAGGGAATTGAGGTGTAGGACTTGGACTCTTGGAGCTTGAACCATCTGAATCATCTAGAGTCAAGAGGGGGCTTAGTCCTGGGGCCTAGGATTCACCTCGCTGACTACTTGGGTTGAACGGCCCCACCGTGTCCTTCAAACAAGCAGATGCACAACCACTAAATGCATGTCATCCTCAAGACCGTGGTCGAACAGCTAGCTAAGGTTGAAGATGCGCCCTGGCTGTTTCTGCATGCAGTGTCTCAGGGGTCTGCTTTGTGACATTTTGGCTTTGGCCCGGAAGCTACATTCTGCAGCACTTCCGCATTTTAGGAAGTGCGGTCCTCAGCATGTTTTCAGCAGGGGCTCCAGACTGACACTAGTCAGTCACTCGGCCTTTATTCCTCAGCCCTAAGCCTGACCTCAAGGCCCAAGGCCGGCCTTCCGTTCGGGCACAACAGGGCTCCACAAAAGCGAAGAGCACCTTCTCAACAAAGCCTCTTCACCACCCGTTTGGACGTGTCTGGTAACAAGTTGGGATCCTGTATTTGCCGTTTACCCCCCCCACCCCCCCAGGCTGGGCTCCTCATGACCTTACCAAAGCAGGGCAATGGCAGCATTCAAGCACCACCCACCCCCCCCCCCCCCAACCCCCCCTCCCCAACCCCCCCCCCCCCCCAACCCCCCCCCCCAAACCCCCAACCCCCCCCCCCCCCCCCAACCCCCCAACCCCCCCCCCACCCAACCCCCCCTCCCCAACCCCCCCCCCCCAAACCACCCCCCCCAACCCCCCCCCCCCAAAAAAAAGAACAAACAAATAAAAACAAAAAAACAAAAGTGAGAGAATCCACCTCTGCCTCGACTCTCGGAGCCGCCCTACCGGCCCAGGAAGGAGTGCACCACTTTGTTGGAGCTGTCGATCTTGCACTACGCAGTTGAAGAGTGACGAAAACACCCCACGCGCGCGCCTGGTGTACAAGCGGGTGTGTCTCGATGTTGTGAGCGATGTAGTCTGTTGGGTCTTCTCGAGATCATGTTGAGACTT